CTGAGCGTGCGCATTGAGTTCGTCACTAGCCTCATTCATCTGTAGTCTAAAGAAGCCTCTAGGTGCCTCGTTAGCGCAGTAGGTAGCGCGTCAGTCTCATAATCTGAAGGTCGTGAGTTCGATCCTCACACGGGGCACAATACTTTTGATCTCAGTTTCTTCATCCTTGCGGGGTAAACCCGGGTTTTATTTGCTTGTCTGTCTGGGGCTGACCTTAAGAAGGGACGTAGCGGGAAATATTGCCCACGCTAGGTAGCTCGGGACGAGAGCCTGGAGTCGCACCGCTGCCTACCCACTACTCCGAGTTCCCTGCCCTTGCGGTTGAGCGTTGACTGTCGCGGGGCACAGGACACCTCTGGCCTGAGCCGGGACCACCCTGTGAGCAGAATACAGAAGGTCGATGGGTCGCAGCAGAGTAGGGCTCCTGGGACCGAGGCCCGGGCGTAGTGACCCGGAGCACCGTGAGGCGGGGAGCGAGGGCGACGTGTGAACAGATGCTGGACAGCAGAGAGCATCGAACACTATGGCGGGGAGTTGGGGCTGTGGAAGGGGGAGTGACCGGCTGTGATGGGACCGGGAGAAGGGACCTCAGGAATCACGGAGGCAGCTGCTAGGGCGCAGCAGGCCAGGGGCTCTGTCGTGGCTGCATCGAGAGCTGCTGCAGCTACTGTGTCACTCATTCTCAAAGATCATCTCCCCTCTCCACAGGTGAATTGCAAATTCAGGAGATGTGACAGCGGTTCCCTGCTCCTCATCTTCCAGCCTCTGCAAGTCCCTGGGAAGACTGCGGTGATACTTCCGGTTTACTGTCCTGGCATGGAGGTCCTCCCAGGAGCTCTCACTTGGCTCTTTCTAGGGTAATAGCCCTTACTCAGTGGATCACAGGCCTCGGTGCAGATTCTGTCATTTACCGGTCTATGTTTATTCCAGTTATTTGGATACTCGGGGAAATAAGCACAGGTTAGTTCTGTGACCCTATTCACCTGCGGGTAATGCAAATTTTGCCCACGACTCCTTGATCACCTGAGCCCATTACCTCTGAATTTCCCTGATGGGCCACAGTAGTGAGCATCAATTCGGGGTCTAGAAATCCCTGTAAGGTCTGGGTGTTTTCTTTAGTATACAATCATTCAAGTAAAGGGCCACAGGTCCCCTCAGGAAACCTTAAAGAACACTTACAGCATGCAGTAAGGTCTTTTCTCAAGGGGATCTGGACTCTTTCAATCAAGTGGCTTTTTTTTTTTTTTAATACTTTCTTTTAACTTGTGAGACAAGTGCTCTACCAGTGAACCACAACTCTAGCCCCAAGAAATGCTTTTTTTGTTAAAAAATATTTTTTAGGGCTGGGGGTGTAGCTCAGTTGGTAGAGTGCTTGCCTTACATGCATAAGGCCTTGGGTTCAATCCCCAGCACCACCAAAAAAAGAACTCAAACAATAAAAATATTTTTTAGTTGTTGATAGACCTTTTTTTAAAAAATTTATTTATATGTGGTACTGAGAATCGAACCCAGTGTCTCACACCTGCCAGGCAAGTGCGCTGCTGCTGAGCCACAGCCCCTCCTCTCAAGTGGCTTTAGGTCTGGAAACTGGGTGGCAGGCATGACTCCAGTTAACTCATCAGGCTTTTGGCCATCAGGTTGGTGTTTATCCTGTTATATATATGGAATTTCATTTAATAGGCTTCTTATGTATTTCATTCTTTGTGACACTAATCAATTATCAACAAAGACCCCTTAATGCTACTAGTTCCATGCTGCCCTTTGCTGTAGATAGTTGTCTTTGGCAATTCAACGCTGCTACTTGGCTTCACTAGCATGGAATCTCATTATCAGAGGTGGCCTCCCTTACTGTCACATATTGTCTGCAGAGGGGAGCCACCATGGAGCTTTCTGGTTTGCAGATGCTTCCTTCACTCACTGCCTTAAAGAAGGAAGAGTCTTTTAGGACCAGAGTACATAGTTTGAAGGTATGGAGGTCCATATGTGATAAATCCTTTCTGTCTAAGCTTTGGCTATATTCATCGACATCATACCAGTGAAATCCTGTCATTCTTATCAAATAGAGGCCAATATCGAGTCCACATTTGTCAGCCAACCATGTAAACTGTAGAGCCACTTCCAATTGCACAAGGGTGCTGGTTATCCACTGACTGCCTCTCAGTCCCTGCTCTGCAGTAATGGCCTGGACTCTTCCGCATTTCTTTTCTTAGTGTGCATGCTATTCAGCTGTCAATAGAGGGTGCTGGAGGGACACTGCGGGAATGGGGCTTCTCTTCCTAACTCCACGGTGCTGCTCAGCTGACTTGCTCCAGCTTCATAGCCCCTCAGAGTTAGCATGGGTGGGAGATCCAGGGGTGCTCTTCTGTAGTCATGTGCCCCAGGGAAGTGCAGTCTGCTCCTTTACTCCATTGCTCTTGACTGCCCCAGTTCGATGACCACTTCACTGCAGTCCTTTGATGACACTGGCATGTTCCAGGTGAGCAGCAGCATCCTGATGCACTCTGAGCACCTGCACATCAGCCTTGGACTGCCTGTGGCTGAGGATTGTTTCCTGTGGTCCTCTTGATTGCACAGTGCACACACCAGGCCACACTCCAGCCTAGGGGTCCTGATACCTTATGCACTTTTACCCACCAGCTTTGGATGACGTGCTCTGGATGTGGACTAGCTCTGGCCTGGACAACCCACGAACCACTCCATTCTCCACCCCTTCTTGGACATGTCTGACCCTGAGCCTTGGAACAGAAGGGGGCTCCCTTTCCAAGGCCGTCCTTCCTTGAGAGCTCCCCCTCCATCTGTGGCACCCTTTAGAGTTCTCTTTACTTCTTCATAGTTGCTTCCCATCAGCTTAACAAGTCTTTTATGTTATACCTCCCTCATTGTGTGGTTTGTCTCCTGAATGGACCTAGACTGATATGATGAGATTAAACATTAAATTCAGAATTTCTGATAAGTTCATCTGTATTCATAAACCAAGCCTTATACACAGTTCTGTTGTGGTCAACACGTACCACTGTGGAAACATTCAAATCTTGCTCAACATTACAGAATTCATACTGGAGAAAAACTCTGAATGTAAAATATGAAAAGGCCTCAACTCGAGTAATTATCCCATTCAATACCATTTAATTCACTGAAAAACCCCCTCAAGTGTAGACAGAGATGGAGAGAGATTTAGCTGAAGCCCAACACTTATCTAACATGGTCCAGTTTGCACAAGATGGAAACCTTCTGAAGGTAAAAAACATGAAAAGGCGTTTAGGTATTGCTCTTCTTACACAAATTCAAGGGAGTATCGGAGAGAAACTTTCTGAATATAGCCATTGTGTCAGGCTCAACCCTTATTCGATCCCAGAGAATTCTCATTTTAAAGTAACTGGGGTAAGATTGAGGCTGTGATGCCAAGAAGACATAATCAGAAACATACTTTATGTACTTCAGCAGACATGATAGTCTTAGAAATGCCAACCAAGCACATATGACTAGAGACTCAGCCAAATATCTGAAATCTGCTAAGGCAGTGACTTTATCAAGATCGTTGTTGGGAGAAACGTAGCCCAGAGAAAACTGGAAGAATGTGATTCAAAAGAACTTCATTTGGTTGAGCAATCAGAGCTCATTTTTAAAAATCAACTTTTAAAGAAACAATTGTGATACATTATAAAGCCGTACATGTGTATAATTGCAAAACCAATCTGAGTAGTATAAATTTTAGAAAAAGAGGACCTGGGAGAGAGGTAAAAGTTGGCAATACACAGCTGATTCCTGCAGGCAGAGTCACAACATTTTTAGACTCTGCATGCTTTTAGGTGAACAAGCAATTTCTAGTTCATCCAAGTTCCCATCACACCCTATATATTTCATACCCTGTGACTCCTGTTGCAAAACACATCAGCCTGACCCATGAAGGCATATATTATAACCACTGAAAATGCACAGAAAATCAGGTTGAAGAAACTACTCTTGGGAAACCAATGCCTTGCAGTGACAGGATATTATTTTAGTACTTTGATAAGAGAACCCGACTAAGAGGATTGGTTCACTGTAAGCTTATGTGTTGAGACCCCAGGGAAAAAAAATGACTACTGTGCTGCACACGCATTGCATGCTGAGCACTGGGTAAAGAACTGCACACGCCTCATCTATGTAGTCCTCACATAAAGGCTGGGAGCTATTTCTATTCTTCCTTTAAAAATGGGAGAGCAAGGTTCTTGAAATCTTGGGTAGCCCTGCTGGGAGCGAGGAGATGAGGAGGACCAGCAGACAGCTCTGCTGAGAGCAGCACGCAGAGGGCCAGGGAAGCAGAGCTTGAGATGTCTGTGGTTGTGGTGGGGTCACTGGCAGACGAGATTCTGCTGTGGTGACACGGGGGCAGGAGGGCTGTCATTCAGGCCAAGTCCACGCTGATGGAGCCTCCAGCTGCTGCTGAGTTCTCTCAGTCCTGGTTGCATGTTGCTGAGATGGTTTTGTGGGCTTTATTTCTCCATTTATTTTAAAAATATTTTTAAAATGTTGATGGATCTTTATTCTATTCATTTATTTATATGCGGTGCTGAGAATCAAATCCAGTGCCTCACACGTTAGGAAAGCGCTCTACATTGGGCCACACCCCCAACCCTCTCCTTTTATCTTTTTTTTTTTTTTTAATTTTTAGCTTTTAGTTGTAGTTGGACATAATATCTTTATTTTATTTATTTATTTTTATGTGGTTCTGAGGATTGGACCCAGGGCCTCGCATGTGCTAGGTGAGTGCGCTACTGCTGAGCCACAACCCCAGCTCTATCCATTTATCTTTCTTATTTTCTTTTATTTGTAGTTGAACACAATACCTTTATTTATTCATTTTTATGTGGTGCTGAGGATTGAACCCAGTGCCCCTGTACGTGCCAGGTGAGTGCTCCACCCCTGAGCCCCAGCCCCAGCCCCTTCATTTATCTTTAAAGTAAACTTTCATTGCTAAAGTTGCTGAAGCTGGTCTTTGCAACTGAGAGCCGAACAGCTTTAAGAGTTTCCAAAAACCTTTTACTGTGAAAAGTTCAAGAAGTCATTTATAAGTCAAAAAGTATTAGAATTAAATAGAAAACATAATTTTTATGAACACATTCTTTCTATACAGAAGGATGGTCTCCATAGGAATTTAAAATAAACAATATAAAAATCAGTGTCATTGATTGCAAATAGGTATCTCCCTCTGACTATCTTGAGGAGACATGTCTCTACGTAGCTAAAAGGTGAGGGGTCCGACATCTCTCACGAGCTTGCTCGGTGAGCCTCTGGCGGAGATTTCTTACTTTCTTGATAAGATTCTGCTCCATGCTGTCCCATTCTCTTGTTTTCCTATTTAAAGAAACTTGAAAACAAGATCTGATATTACTAGCAGTTGAATTTTCTGATGTTAGCAATGATAGAGTAATTATTTTGAAGGTAATGTGCTGCAAACCTTAATAATAAAATGAATATTGTAAAAACAAGGCTTCTTAAACAAAAAGCTGAATGAATTACCTGCCCCTAAGTAGTTCTATTTACAATTCAAATATTTATTTATAGAACTGAAGAAATTCTATCAGCAAACTTGTATATTTTAAGTGATTTAGCATTTATAAAATTTATACATTAGGAACCAAGCATGACTAAGAATTTGTGTTCTTCAAAACAGTAAGCTTCCTCACTATGATGTCAATGATAACGAGAAAAGTCATTTCTAGTCACTGTGAAGTGTGTTCCATGACTGCTTTCCCAATAAGAAAATAAACAAACCAATGTTCTTAATTAATAGCAAAGATTAAAATACAACAATTTGTCTAAGAGTAATGGCCATTTCAAGTGGACTAAGGGGTTGTTAGTAAATATGGAATTTGGGAGGAAAATCCACAACTTAAAAATACACTTCTGAAATTTAGTTTCATAACCAGTCAGCTTCAATTCCTGAAAAACTATTTTCTTCTCTCAAAGAACTTTCATTTTTTTTTTTTTCCAAACGACCTAGACTGAGCCAGTTCTTTCACTCCAGTTTGAAATTTAGAATTGTCTGGTTAAAGCTGAAGTTCTAGTTGGGCGAGAAGCACAGGCCTGCGCTCCCAGCTGCTCTGCAGGCTGAAGCAGGAGGCCAGTGCCAGCCCAAGGGGTGTGAAGGCTGCCTGTGAAACGTGGTGAGGAAGAAAAAGAGGGAGTTCTGAGGTGTCAGAATAAGAACAGTTGAGAATCTCTGTATTTCATTTGATTCACAAATGATTCTTAGTCTAATTCATATCCTGGCATAGAATATATAGGTGCATATATAACTATGAGTTACAAAAACATTTCACATAATACTGGAATCTTATGACTTATTATTAGAAATATTTCTTGTAAGTCACTGGGAAGCCAAGAACCAAGCCATGATGGTTTACAGCTCGAATGGACAAGTGCCGGAGCAGTCCTCAGGGACACTGTCTTTGATAACACATTTCTTTTGGGGAACAGTTGAATTTGTGATTTTGTTCTTCAAAATTTCCTCAAGAAGATGTGAAAACAAAAGAGGCTACAAAAACTCATTTGATTCCAGATTCGACAATGGAAGACGGTCAATAGGAAACCCTCCCTGAAGAATGGGTCAAATCAATCATCTTCGTGGTCCCAGCCCTCCTCCCATGGGTGGTGTATGAGGAAGGTAAATGTCTGCTCTAAGAGGGAGACAACTAGACATACACATTCATGGCAGAAGGAACCTTTTGCAGGGATCTGGCCTTACCAACATGCAATTCCACAAATGCACATTTGTCTCATCTTTTTTGTATAATTTATTAAAATATTATTATAGTTTAAAAAAAGAGAAATATTTCTTTAAAAGCTCATTTTTTGGAGACCTTGCATAAAATTTTGTTCTTTTAAAAGAACTCAAAGACCTCCTTAAATTCTGCTTCATCTATTGAAAATGTCAGCTGAAAGAATGTCTAACATTACAGTTTCCTGTCCCTTCTCCCCTTTTCACAGTTAGTAATATACTTGTTAGCTCCTTTATGGGTTAGTGTGACTATACTGCTGTAAGATGCCATCCTGTCCCTTCCAAAAATAAACATGATCCCCCAGGGCATCAAGCCAAGGGATCTGAAGTCACCCATTAGCCAGCACAAAGCCTTTCATTGGCAGCAGCGCACCTGATATAGCATGGACTCCCTCCCAATGGCTGCAGAGGAAGACACAAGACAATTCACATATGTGGTAGTGCTGAAGTTTTCTTTTTGAAAGGATGTGAAAGCAGTTACAAACCTCATATTATTAATTTAGGGCCTTCAGTTAGGGCTTCTACCTCTTTTGGGGCAGCAATACTGATATAAAGAAATGGAGTGGCATGAATGCATTCAGCAGACTTTCTTTATCTGGAGTTGGTCTGTATCTGGTTTTTTCCTCTAGCTGGAAACCCGTGGGATTCTTGCTGACTCCATTTTAGGTTTTCTGCTATCAGGGACCTAAGAACCAGCACTGACATTCTATAAATATCATTGCAACCACAATTTTGCTTAAATATTGTTAAATAAAAAATGACAGAAGAAATCTTTCTTGCTTATCAACTTACTCTGTGTTGAGGAATCCATATCAGAAATGTCATTTAATTCTGAGGTTCTAGGCAAACTGCTCAACGTAACCCGTTCATTTTGCAACTGGAGCACTTCTGCTGCAAAAATGAGGTAGAGAGGATGTTCAGGAAGGAGCAGAAAGCCTTTACTAATGCCAGTGGTCCCTAGTAAATTAAAATTGTCAGACTGGGGATATAGCTCAGTTGGTAGAGTGCTTGCCTTGCATGCACAAGGCCCTGGGTTCAATCCCCAGCACACACACACACACACACACACACACAAATTGTCAGGATGGTTAAACCCTTTCTTTTCTATTCTGAAAACATGCTACCACCATTAAATGTTGGCGTAGGATCTGCCTTCCTTAACAAGAATCCTAAAGTGCAAGAAGCAAAATCAAGAATCAATAAATGAGGTGGCATCAACCTAAGAAACTTCTTCTCAACAAAGGAAACAATAACATGAAGAGAGAGCCTACAGAATGGGAGAAAATCTTTACCACATGAACCTCAGAGCATTAATCTCTAGGATATACAAAGAACTCAAAGGACTTAAAGTCAGCATATTACAGTGATGCAGCCACATCAATGTTTATAGCAGCTCATCTCACAATAAATAAACTATGGAACCAACCTAGATGCCCTTAAACAGATGAATGGATAAAGAAAATGTGATGTAGAACTAATTAGAATAAATTAAAAAATGCTACCATCAGCCAGAAGGCAAGTAAAGCACAGTGAGAATTAAGAGCCCAGCTGAAATTTTCATAACATCTTTTAAAAACACCACTAGCTAAAACAAAAAGCCAACAGATAGCTAAAAAATACAGATGTTAGGGTAGAGATCCCCAATGTTTACTGGAAGTGCTTATGAAAGCGATCAGCAAGCCCTTGGCGAGCACTGCCGGGGCCGCGCACCAGCCTCGCCCACGCGGCCCGACCACAGGCCCACCCCGCGAGGCTGGCCCCGCGCAGCCTCCAGAGAGGAGGCCCAGCCAGCTCTGGAGCCCAGAGGCGCCTCCCACTTTCATCAAGTGCTCTCACTGGCTGACACTGGCCTCTCAGCTGCTCTCTCACTGCCCCTAACTCCTAAAGCTTCACATCCAATGACACCAAAGTCTTCCTTGAAAAAGTCCCGTCCTAACACCCCATCTCAGGCCTCTCCCTGGCCACTCCACCACAGCCCAGCCTCCACACACGGCCGCGGCCCGGCAGAGGCTCCCTGCGACACCTGCTGCAAACTTCACCAGCTCTTTTCACTCGGAGGTTTAGCTCACGAGGCATTAAGATAAATCTAATTATCAAGTGACTAATTTGAGCTGGCGTGGGCGAACGGAACAGGAGTGTGCGAAGGGGCGCCGTGGCGCGGAGGTCGCACTCATCGCCTGCACCGCGCCGAGGGCAGTTTCTAACGAGACTTACCAAGAGGAGACCAAGAGTCAACCTCTTTACACGTGGAAGGAATAGAAAACGGAGTGCGGTGACAAGCTCGCCAGCCTCCAAGTGCCCCGGCACAGGGGGCGCAGCACAAGTCGGCCTTCCCCCGCTTCCAGAGTCCACATCTCCCAGTTGCCTCTCCTCTGTCCTCCAAAACACTGGCCACTGCATTTAATTCACCTTCCCCAGGGGCTGTCTGGTAAATATTATCTCTGTTCAAATAATCGGTGGTTCCCTTTGCTCACAGCGATATTTCAAACACTGTGAGGTCCTGGGTATGTGAATTTAAAAAAAATCTTTGATTTATGAAAAATAACAAATGCTAATTGTAACAATTTTGGACATATAAGGAATAGAGGAAAAGTGAAAGTTCCTATACTTTCTGTATTGCAACTTGCTTTGTTTTTCTTAATTTAATGTATCTAAGGCTCCAAAGGCAATTCTTTATCACTTTATTTATTCTTATTGTTTTGTGGTGTTGGGGTTGAACCCAGGGCCTTGCACATGCTAGGCAAGGACTGAACTACATTCCCAGCTTTTAAAAACAAAACAACAACAACAACAATTTTTTTTTTTTTTTTGAGTCGGTGTCTAAATTGCCAAGGCAATCTTCCTGCTTCAGCCTCCTGGGTGGCTGGGACTATAGGCATGAGCCACTGTGCTGGCCTTTTTATTATTTTGAATTAGTGTTTATATAATGAATTGTTATTATATATACTGAAAGATTCAAAAGGAATAAAAAGGTACAACTAAATTCCTGCCTTGTCCAACACTGCCTCCAAGTTCCTTGCCTAGGAGGCAGACTTACAGCAACAGGAGAAGGACACCCCCCTCAGGCTGGCATTGAAGTCCTTATTATCTATCTTTTCTGAGATTGCTAGGGCTAGAGTGTACCAAGTTCTTTGCTCCAGCTTGCCTAACTTAAATCACTAAGACAGGCAACTTCCTACCATTGTTTAATCACAATTAACAAGTTCTTCATGAACAACTGAAATTCATGGAAGTTTTTGGTTGACCAATTCACATAAACATAAGGAAAAATTTTGTTTGCGTATGTGTATGTGCATGTTTTGGGAGATGTTTCCCAAAGAGGTCCAGAAACAATAGGTGGTTACAAAACAGTATAACGCAATGTTAGGACTGTAACAAAATTAAAGATCACCAAGTCTGTAATCTTCTCATTTCACAAATACAAAACCGAAGACCAGTAAATGTTCCTGAGTTAATCCAAATTCAAGTGGTTAAATAAACTAACCAGAAGCACACAGCTCAGTGACAGCAGCTGAGTGTACTGAGACCCTCCTGTCCACACCCACACAGTGGGCGTGTCCTGAGTGGGGTGCACCCTCTCTGTCTCAAGTGTCATCCTGCTTCTCTACACTCTCCCCTTTCTTCAAGGCCCAGTGATTTTGAAACCTGGTCCAGTGGCCTTACTCAGCAACAGCATTTACTGATGTCTTTCTTTAAGCAACAGTCTCATTAATATATAATCCATACCCCCCACACAAACTGGATACTTTCCCAGTGCACAATTCAGTGTTATTAATATATTCAGAGTTATTCAGAGTTGCACAACTGTCACCACTAATTCTAGAACATTTTCATCACCCCAAAAGAAACTCCACATCCTTTTCACTTCCAGCCAACCACTAACTACTCTGATCTCCACAGATTTTCCAATTCTGTACATTTTATATGAACAGGATCACATAATATGTGGCCTTTTAGGTCTGTTTTTTTTTTTTTTAATGTATTATGGGGTTTAAGGTTCAGTTTTCTTTTTTTTTTTTGGTGGTATTGGGAATGAAACCTAGAGCCCTGTGCATGCTAGGCAAGCACCCACCCCTCCATGAGCTGCCGCCACAGTCCTGAAGTTCACCCATTTTGTACCATGGATCAGCACTCACTCGTCTTTATAAATGAGTAAGATTCTGTTCTATGGATATATCCCATTGTTTATCCATTCCTCATTTAAAGGATCTCTGGGTTGTTTCTATTTTGACTGTTTCAAATAATGATGCCACGAAATTCACGAATAAGTTTTTACACAAACACATGCTTTTGATTCTCTGGGAGACATACCTAGGGGATGCACTACTTGGGTTAACCTTCTGAGGAACTGTCAAACTAACTTCCAAAGTGATGGCACCATTTTACACTCCCTGCAGCACTGTCCTCATCTCTCGGCCTTTACTATTTGTCTTTTTGACTATAGCCAACCTAGAGGGTGTGGAGTGGTATCCCATTGTGGTTTTTATTTCAATTCCCTTTCCCTAACGATTAATAAAGTGGACATGTTTTCCATGTGCATCTGGCCATTTTTTGTATCTTCTCTGGAGAAATGTCTATTCACATGCTTTGCCATTTTAAAATTAAGTTTCTAGGCCTGGGATTTTAGGGACGTCCAGGCAAGAACCAGAAAGTTCTGTCTTCTGAAAGATAGTAAGAATTTCCTGACATTGCTGATAAAGTTTCAATACTAGGCAAAAATGTTAAGTAAATCTTCTGTCCCTAGCACATGCGGACTGTTTGCTACGTCTTGGTACCTGTCTTCTGGGGCCTGAGTGAAAAACCAATGCTGAGCATCTCCAATCAAAATGCTTTCCTAACTATAGCCAATTATCTTCTGGTTTTAGGGTCACATGATTATGACTAAATTATACATCCTGATTAAAGAAATGACTGACAGTTCTTTAGGGGTTTACCTTTTAAAAACTGGATGCTTATTAACAAATTCTCTCATTGGTAAAATTTAGGAGGGTTAAACTTTAGGTAGCAGGAGGGGAGCCATTACGGAGGCAGATGGAAGTATGTTGTTAGACCAATGATGATGGAAGCTTCCTGAAGTTTCCCACATTTTTCTATTTCTAAATATGTAGGTTCTTGAAAAGATTCAAAAAGTTTTTCCTTTCTAAAACAGGAGTAAGTATGAAAGGGTCAGGGAGAAAAGATAGCTCCAGAAGACAGTATCTTTTGTGAGCCAGTTTTAAATATTTAATTTGTGCAAAGTCACATTCTCTCCCCAATTTCTCCCAACTACTATTTTTGATGCAACTGAGACCACTAAATCTCAAGCATGAGAGGTAATGAGGGGTTGCCAAAGTAGGAATGAGTAACTGATGACAGCATCTAACCTAGATTTTTACTTTTCAGATTTGTGGTTGAAGCTCAAAACATTATGCCAAGTAAAAGAACAAGACACAAAAGACCATATATTGTAGGACTCCATTTACATGAAATCTCCTGAAGAGAAAAATCTAGTGACCACAAGTAGATCAGTAGTTGCCAGCGGCTGGTGGGGAGTGAGGGGAAGAGGGGAATAACTTTTAATTGGTACAGAGTTTATTTTGAGGTGTCAAAAAAAGTTCTAAAATTGCTTGTGGTGATAGTTGCACAGCTCTGAATAGATTTCTTAACATACAGTAATACAACACATTGTACACTATAAAATAGGTAAATTGTATGGTATGTGAATTATACATCAGCAAAGCTGTGATTTTAAAAATAATGCATATACATTATAAAAGACTGAAACAATACAACATAATAAAATTTTCCTGTATCTGTACTCTACTTTAGAATTTTAAAATTATAATATATAAATTATGATTTTCATTTTTTCAGTTGATTTTGTAGTCCTTGTAACAAAAGCCTAATGTCTGATTAGATCCTATAGGAAGATCTCTAAGATATACATTAATACACTATTATTCTGAGGGCCAGATATTGGCAAAGCACATATTTTTACTAAAATAATTATAAGTAGCACTTTGGGAACAAATCACATTCTAGAAGACTAAGAGGATCAAGGGGCCATGGATCTACGGAAAGTCCTACAGGAAACAGTCCTACAGGAAAGGCGAAACACTGTTCTTGATCAGAGCTTTGTTTTTAAACATAACCACCTCCTCAGCTCACCCCTTCCGCTCCTCCCCCAAAAGAAAAAAGGTAACTAGTGATTACCTCTTAGCAGTGCATAGTTTGAATGAAAGTGCCAAAATACACCTCTATGAATTATTCATGAGAACAGAAAAGAGGAATGTGTGACAGTATGAAGGACACTCAATGACACTCACCTTTATTACATGGATTTTCAGCATGTTCTAAGGCAGCACTCATCTCCTGCTGTAAAAACCACTTTCTGGATTCATCCGAAAGGGCAGAAGCTTTCTTTTCTGATCTCAAATGAAACCCTTTTTCTTCAGCTTCCTTCCACTACATAAAAGTAAGTGGTGAAAACAGATCACATAAAAATTGTGGTAACACAAACTCTTACCTTTTCCTCTACTCTTCCTCCTTCACAGTCTCAGGGTGCACACTATCTGCTTGGTATTATGGGATCTGGGGCGGGTGTGGTGTTCCACAGCTATGGAAGAACTCTGGGAACAGAGGCACATTCTGTGTAGTACTCAGCACCTCTGAGGGCCATGGAACCCATAGCCAGGTCCCAACCATTGTAGAAACAACCATTCATTTCCATGTGCTTCAAATCTTAGGAGTCTAAGCTGGTTTTGTATTAATGGTGATTAATTTTATTTAATTTTAATGCTATGCCTTAGTAAAAAAAAGTCAACAAAATTCAGAGAATTAATTCTTTGTCCAGCTCTGGCATATACCTTGACCACAAGGAAGTCAAGTAATTTCTATTAGTCCCCTGATTTCTTCCCAAGAAAATGACCATCACCTTAAAATCAGCTCAGAGGATAACTAAAATAACAGATTTAAAATATTATAATATTTGCTAATGTTCTAGAAATGCTACAGCTTTTATATGGAAAAACTCATATCATTTTCATGAAGAGAACACCAATGTACTAAATAAAAGCTTTAAAGAATCATAAAACACAACCAGAGACCCATCCCTTTGGTGTTCCTGATGATGGCACTGAGTCTGGGGATTCCCCAAGGTTACATAAAAGTCAAGTTAGCTTTAGAACTCAGGATCCAAACACAAAGAATTTCTGCATAATGTGAGAAGCCCTTACAACGATTCCATCTACTCTCAAATGTACTATTTTACCCAAGTATAATAGCACCAAATTTCACAGTCCAGCCATAGTATCAGCAATCCTACGGGAGGGGGGGTGGGGGCTTCCACCACAGTACTCCTGAGACAACGGCCTCAGTGTCCTGGACAGTACTCCTCCCCACACCCCCTTCCCTGTTCCTGAAAGGAAGGGTTCTACACAGGACCCCTTGCCACTGGGAGGTGGTAGGACACTCTGGAATAGCGACTTGTCTGAAATACGTGGTAAGCAGCTTTCAGAATAGACACCTGAGGCAGCTGCAGAAGGAGGAAGGAACTAAAGCCAGTTATCTAGAGCCTCATCTCTCCCCAGCAGCAGAACCCTTAGGAAAGTCCACGGTATCTGTGATAGAGTCTACAGAGCACAGGGCCTCCAGGTGTTAGGAGAAGTCACCAAAAGATACATCTGTGTGACATACACTCTTGGCTGTCTCTTCAAAATCCATTTTGAATCTACTTTCAGAATAAATCTTAATTTTATTTAGGTTCATAATAAACCCTGTTAAAAACTACATTTCCCAGAATCTTTTGCAACCAAATTGGTTAGAAATATGATATGGGACTACTATGGTTTGGATGTGAGGGGGTCCCCCAGAAGCTCCCATGTGAGACAATACAATAAGGTTCACAGGAGAAATGACTGGATTTTAAGAGTCTTAACCCAATCAGTGAATTTATACCCTGACTGGGATTAACCAAGTGGTGACTGAAGCGATAAGGTGCGGCTGGAGGAGGTGGGAAATGGGATGTGGCTTTGGGATTTATATTTGTATCTGGCAAGTGGAGTGTGTGTGTGTGTCTCTCTCTCTCTCTCTCTCTCTCCTTCCTAATCACTAATCACTATGTGAGCTGTTTCCCTCTGCTACATTCTTCTTCCATGAGGCCTCACCTTGAGCCCTGAGGAATGGAGTTGGCCTTCTATGGACTAAGACCTCTGAAACCATGTGCCCTCAAATACACTTTTCCTCCTCTACAATTGTTCTGGTTGGGTCTTTCAGTCATAGTAGTGAAAGAGGTGACTAAAATAGGGACCCTGAGAAAGAGCTGACTCTGATGGGAGGTAGAAGATCCTGTACTTCTTTCTGGTGTCTGGCATATACATGTGATGGCTGGAACTCTAGCAGTCAACTTGGATGATAAGGTATCATTGAGAATGAAAACCATACACCAGGAAGCAGTACAGAAAAGTCCAAGAAACATGGTAGCCTTGAAGTCTCAGTAGCTTGAAACTGTTTATCTCCAAAATTGTGAGAAAGAAAAGCATTTCTATCTTGTCACTACTATTTTGAGTTTTGTTATTAGCAGCTCCAAACATTTTCTATTTATTCAAAATCTTTTGTAAGTATAAAGAATGAGGTAAAGATGGGCATGATGGTGCCATGCCTATAATCCCAACTACTTGGGAGGCTAGTGTAGGACCACTGCAAATTTGAGGCCAGCCTCAGTAACTTAGCAAGACACTGTCTCAAAGTAAAAAAATTTAAAAAGGGCTAGGTATATAGCTCAGAGGTAGAATGTTCCTGGGTTCAATCCTTAGTACCCCAAATCAAAAACCAAAACTCTAAAACCAAAAAATTCCCAAACAAAAAAAATTAAAATGAGGGGCTAGGATTATAGCTCAGTGGTAGAGCACTTGCCTAGCATGTGTGATTCAATTCTCAGAACCACATATAAATAAATAAAATAAAGGTCCACTGGCAACTAAAAACAAATTTTTTTTTTGAAAAAAAAAAAAGTATAATAATATTACCACAGACTTAAAAAACAAACAACCAAACAAAAAACGAAAAGCAGGTAAATTAAAGTGGTAATACCACCCAATTAGCCAGAACAAATCCAGGAGCTAACAAATTGAGACACACTAAAATAAATGAGAAAAATGCTTAACAATTTTTAGGTAGCATCAATATTAGATAACTTCTCTGAGAAACAACCATTAAAATTAGATAATTTTTCCCAACTAAAATTACTTGGTTTGATGCTTTTGTCATCTGATTATGTATTATTCTGATATTTAAATGCTTCATCTAATAAAAAATTTATAATACGATTCTTACCTTCTTAGCTTCCTCCTCCATCATTGCATTTAATACCTCTGATTCTTTCCTTCTGTTCTTCCGAAGGAGGTTGGCTACTTCTCGGTATCCTTCATTTCGTTGTAGATCATTACATTTTTGTCTATGTAAATTTTGAATCTGCCAGTCAGTATTTAAGCATGCTTGTTCAGCTTTTGCCAAATTTTCTTCAATTATCTAAGAAAAGTTGTAAAAATTCAGAAACAATGTCAGACTCTAAAATCATGTGTCCAGGTATCTAGGACAGCTGTTCATAAGCTTGGTTGCATATCACAGTCACCTGGTGTGTTAAAACAGACTGACTCCCAGGGCCCACCACAAACCAATAAAATCCATCTCTGGTGCAGCTGGATATTGGTATTTTAAAACACTCTGTAAGTGATTTTAATGTATAGCAAGAGTGAGAACTTCCAGGCTAGGGGATGGGTAGGATTTAGTAATATTTGTTTTCAACACCATGAAAACGAGTCAAAAGAGCCTATTTTTACAGATTCACAAAAGTCTACAATTTAAAAAAAATAGTGGAATATTTTGGGTGAATAAGCTAAGGGACTGTTGCAGAACAGAAGGTTTCTACACCATTCCTGATTCTTGAAAGAGGACCAACCCTCGACATACACTCATTTAACATTTTGCTAAAGGTATAATAGAGAAAGTTCTTTTTTTAATGCCTCAAGTTTTATTTCAATTCATTTAAATCATCATTTCTGAAAGGATACTCTGTAAGAAATTCTATAAAATAAGTCTGGAAATGTTTCTTAATGATTCAGAATGTACAAAACTCTCAAATTTGGCATTTAAAAAACCCCCTATTTTAGGACAGCATTTCCAATACTTGGTCATCCCCCACTTCACTGAATAACAGTTATTAGAATTCCACAAATATACTCTGGAAGTGCTGGCTTCCATACGAGACAGGGACCTCAACCATTTAGGGGAAATCTCTGAGACACAGCATGACAGAAGAGCATAATTTGTAAAAGTTTCTATTTCCTTTGAAACGGTAGTTATAAAGAGTCTGACAGAGACTCATATATGACTTTCAATGAAGCAAGCACCCTGTAAATAAATACAGCAATGTGAGGCTCTAGGAACCTGGATTAATGAAGCAAAGCAATGAATTATCTCAATTTCACAATTTATTCTAAATTTGTTTTCTTAAAAGAACTATGGATGGAAAATTACCTCCTATGTACACACTAAATTTGCCATATGTTTACCTTCTGGGTCTTTCTGCTCTGAGTCTGACCAGTTTCTATTAGCTTATGAAACATGTGTTCTTCAAGATCCACTTTTCGCCTATAGGCATCAGCATCTTCCTTAATTTCTTTTGCAATAGCTTCTTGATTTCTAGTAAGATTCTGTTAAAAAAATTGCTGATTTATATAATAATACTAAAACACAAAGTGGCTTTTCTTTTTGCAAAATACTAATACATATACAAATAAAAACTGTAACCATTTAATTTTCAAAGTAAAAAGCAAGTAGTAGAATATCAGTGAAAACCACAAAGCAAGTAACTCTGAAAATTCTCTCCTTCCTAAAAGCAAAAACTGTCAGAATCAACTTCTTCAAAATTATGGAAATTGACTGAAGCCTTACAGCAATCTGGAGAGCATTTACTCATTAAAATGGCTAAACCTCAGTAAGAAACAGCAAGCTCTCTGCTATTTTATCTTGTGTATTCTGATTCCCACCCAGCCCCAAGCTCAGGTTAGCCCTGAAAACCAGCAGCCTGGTAACCTATGGGGCAGGCGAGACGGGGCTGGAGCTCCTTCAAGCCATTCCCTGAGAGTCACCATTACTTGACCTTACTGGCGGGTCTCTGCAAGACCCCACTGCCTACGTTGTCTTCACATCACCTCACTCAGAACTCAGTGTGTGCAGCCAGTTCCTCAGGGACATTTGTAGAAAACAATTAGAAATTGAACATCCTGGCTGTGGAGGCAGTAGATCGTGGTTGACAGCACACAACAGGATAATTCCAGCAGCTCAGGAGGCTGAGGCAGAAGGATGGTGAGTTCAAAGCCAGCAAAAGTGAGGCATTAAACAACTCAGTGAGACTCTGTCTTCAAATAAAATACAAAATAGAGCTGGGATGTGGCTTAGTGGTCGAGTGCCCCTGAAAATTGCAACTAAGCGAGGCCCTAAGCAACTTAGTGAGACCCTGTCTCTAAATAAAAAATAAAAGGGCCGGGGATGTGGCTCAGGGGTAAAGTACTCCTGGGTTCAATTCCTAACACCAAAAAAGAACTAGGAGAAAAGAATGAAAATCCACAGTGAAGAGGAATGAAGACGGGTTAGTGGTGTGACGCAGCATATTGGGTAAAGGAAGTTGTCAATTCATTTTTTTTATTATAGTTTTCTTAGGCCATGGAGGAAGAGGGAAACTATTATCCCCCCAGCAGGCGGCATGTATCAGACATTGTGCAGGAAAGGTTTTACTCAGTATGTCTGAGTTATTCAAACACTGCACATTTCAAAGAAAAGACTAGCCCTTGGCTAGCTCCTGGAAGATAAGCTCTTGGGCCTGGATCACTCTGCCTGAGGCCTTTGCATTACTGGGGATTTGGCCACGCCATGGGCTTATGTGAACAATGCGATTTGGTAGGAGCTGCTGGCCAGACTACATTAGCCTGACTTCTGGAGGGGCTGAAGAAAGACATCTAAGGGCAGCCTCCTGTGTGCTCCTTTCCTACGCTGACCCCCTGTGATACCCAAGACAACGAGGCTTGCGCAAGCCTCCTGGTGGCGGTTCTCTGTGCAACTGTCCCACATCTACGCCAGGAGAATTCAGTGTTGTCTGCACAACCCCACGGGAGATGCCAGCTGCAAGATCTGCCTGCTCTGGAGTCCACCTACATGACCCTTAAGTTTACTGGATTTAATTTCCTTCTACTTCAATAAAATGAAACCACAGGTGTAAGAGTTCTTACTGAATTCTGTGAGTCCTAATGAATCAATGAACCCAAGGGTGGTCTTGGGGACCCTGCGACATATACATATTAGTTCATTTATAATCCTCATAACGATCTTTTCAAGGATGCTGTTATTCCACAGAGAAGGTGCTTACATGTGAAAGATAGAGAGAAGGACAAAACCCACTTCATTAAAACAAGGTCCTGGAAGGTGAAGGGAAGGGATCTGGATCACAGGTCAGAATTTATTTGTTGGTCTTTATGCTTAGTTTTCTTATTTTTCTTCTTTTTTCATTAGGGTCGGGGGTGTAGCTCAGTGGTAGAGGGCTTGCCTAGCACGTACAAGACTCTGGGCTCCATACCCAGCACCGCCAAAAAACCAAACCAAATGAAATCAAACCAAACCAAAACAAAACAAAAATACCAATCAAATTAGGTGTATATAGAATGTTGAGCTCGTATTTCCCATTGAGCTAATAATGATATTTTCTGGAACAAAATGTCTTTAGAAACCAGGTACAATGGAGCATACCTATAATCCCAGCAATTTGGGAGGCTGAGGCAGAAGGACTGAAAATTTAAGGCCAGCCTCGGCAACTTGGTGAGGCCCTGAGCAATTTAGTGAAATGCTGTCTCAAAATAAAAAATAGAAAGACTTGGGGATGTGGCTCAGTGGTAAAGCACATCTAGGTTCAATGCCCAGTCTCCTGTACCTGCCCCCCAGCCCAAAGTCTTTGGAAATAGACATTTTTTGGGGGTAGGTAATGGGGAATGAACTCAGGGGCACTTGACCACTGAGCAACACTCCCAGCCCTATTTTGTATTCTATTTAGAGACAGGGTCTCATTGAGTTGATCAGCACCTTGCTGTTGCTAAGGCTGGCTTTGAACTTGCGATCCTCCTGCCTCAGCCTCCCAAAACGCTGGGACTACAGGTGTGCAACACCACACCTGGTTGGAAATAGATATTTAATTCATGTGTAATGTAAGAGAGAAATTTGGCAGGTAAAGTGTTGGTCACTAAAGCCACTTTTAAAAAGGTGAGAGCAATATATCTGTAGCTAAATGAACAGATAAATTTTAGGATTTTATGTTAGTTTTAATTTAATTCTTCTCTAACCCTGTAGGTTTCCTTAAATATTTCCTTCAAAAGATAGCAAAAAGGGATTAATAAATATTTGCCTCCTAATCTGATACTCAGAAAGCAACTCAGTATTACTTAAGTGGCATTCCTGCCCAAAGTGCATCACTAGAATCGTTCCATGAAAACACAATGGGTAAATGCTGAGGGACATTCTGTAACATATCTAGCCTATATGCTTCAATAAACATGAGTGTCATGACATACAAAGGAAATTCTGGAGGAGTTTAAATAGGAGTAAAGAAGACATGAGACACCTGGAAATATGGATCTTAGATTTTTCTTTTGCTCTAAAGAATGTTTTTGAGATAACTGATCAAATCTGAAAAAGGGTATTTATAGATCAGATAATATTATGTTGACTTCCTGGTTTTGATAATATACTGCAACTATATAATAGGATTCCTTGTATACTGAAATGCTGAGGGGTAAAGGAGTGTCATGTTTACAACTTACCCTTAAATAGTCCAGAGAAGAAAATATGTATATGTGTACAGATGGAAAGAAAAATTTAGCAAAACATTAATATTTGAGAATCTGAGAGAAAAATATCTTTTTTTTTTTTTTGTATCAGTGATTGAACTGAGGGGCGCTTTACCACCGAGCCACATCCCCAGCCCTTTTTTACATTTTATTTAGAGGCAGGGCCTCGCTGAGTTGTTTAGGGCCTCACTAAGTTACTGAAACTGGCTTTGAACTCATGATCCTACTGCCTCAGCCTCCAGAACTGCTGGTTATAGGCATGTGCCACTGTGCCCAGCTGAGAGAAAAATATCTTGAAAATTTTAGGATTTTTCTTGCAAAATTTCTATTAATTCTGAAATTATGTCCCCTAATTGCCACACACCTCTTATTTCTAGAGGAAAGACAGCAAAAGTAAACTCTAGCTTAGTCCAAGTTAATTACATCTAATTTAAAATTACTGGAAATTCCTTGTTCAGTTCTAGAAGAAACTTAAAAAGTATTACAGATATAATGGATGCTGTTTTAAATATTAATGTAGATAACAATCTTGTGTATGTTACCTGTTATGAACCTGCAGTCAACTTTAAACTCAAAGTCTGATTTTAAGGGGCTGAAGGAAATAAAAACCTATGGTTTCAACATAAATGAGTAACAAAACATTTTCCTCCAATAAAAATTATGTTAACATAGCTTTCCCCAGTGGTATAAAAACTGAGTTGTAGGTTCTAAGCAAATATTTGCCGATCTAATTCCTGAAGATTTAAATTTAAAGTACTTTACAGTTACTGCCATGTTGCCTCACAAGATCCTTAGAAGGCTCAGGGTGAGTATTCCTTATTCCAAATGCTCAAGGCCAGAAGTATTTCTGATTTTGGAATTTTCTTGGGAGTTTGAAATACTGCATAATCTTTACTGGTTGAGCATCCTTAATCTGAAAGCCTGAAATTTAAAATGCTCCAAAATTTGAAATTTTGGGGCATCAAGTTGGCACTTCAAATGTTTTGGCTATCAGAGCACTTCAGATTTTGACTTTTCAGATTAAGAATGATCAACTTGTATTGGGATAATTTCACAGTTAGTTGCACAAATGTAGGAAAACTTAGTAAACTGGTAAAGATCCTGAGGCAATGTCTGGGGCTTACATCTGGTGCTTCAGACACCAGGCTAAGCTGCTACAGAAACATGAATTAAAGAATTACAACAAACTGTACATTCAGACATTCTGGCTACTTTACAATCCTGGATGACACTATATGCTGTTTCAAAAGTGATTAAAATGAACATTAAGAAACCATGAATAAATACAGCCTAAAAAGGGTTCGTACAAACTCTGCTTTTCTTACACTGGAAATAACTGACTTCTACCTTCTCATAAAGTCTTTTTTGTGATTCAAGTTCCAGCTGCCTCATTTCTAGGTCTTTGGTTGTGGTAGCAATTTCTTGATCTCTCATTTGTACCTACGGCCAAACAACAAACACAAGTATTAAAAATAATTTACAAATTCATTTCTAAGAAATTTAGTAATCTTATATAGTGAAAACTCAATGACAGTATTTAAAATAACAGGAATTGGGACTGGGGTTGTGGCTCAGTGGTAGAGCACTTGCATCGCACGTGTGAGGTACTGGGTTCGAGCCTCAGAACCACATAAAAACAAATAAAAGTAAAGATATATAAAAAAAATAACAGGAATTGGTTTCAGGAACCAGAGTAACTGATAATATGTTAATATTCACTGTGGAATCTAGGACTAATCTCTGAGTTGAAGTTATGCTTAATTTTTTAAAAAAGATCACATAGTTACCATAGACTCATTTGGATAGACTGGAAAAAGAGGCAGCAGTTTTTACCATGCTACAGTAACCAACACTGAGTTAGAAAAACTTGAACAACTTAAATTTGGGGTTTACAGAAATACAGAATGTTTAATCTTATGAAATATAATGGTTATTTAATGTTCTTTTTGATTTATACTTTTTATAAATCAATTTGACAATAACTTCAGGTTGGACTTTACTGTGGATTATTCAACTTGTGTTTTGATCAGACAGACATAGCTCATTTAGAATTCTCCATTCTCTAGAATTGGATTTCTTGAAAGCTTTTCCCTCCTATATACTAGAGGGTTCAGACAAGATACTTTGAGAGAATCTTAGAAATCATCTTAACTATTTGGTTGCCTAAAGCCCCAATTATTTTTAGCAGTGAGAATAAAATACATTGTATGTATTTCAAACAAAACAACAAACTGTAACCAATCAGTTGTCAATCCCCATTCATTTATTTTTTATTTTATTTTTTAAATTTTTTTAGTTGTAGTTGGACACAATACCTTTATTTTACTTATTTATTTTTATGTGGTGCTGAGGATCGAATCCAGGGTCTCACATGTGCTAGGTGAGTGCTCCACCACTGAGCCACAACCCCAGCCCCCCCCCCCATTCATTTATTCAACAAACATATGATGATTGAATTACCACCTTCAACTACTGAGGGTTAGATACTGTTGATTAAAAGACATGCTATAAAATAGCATGTAATAGGAGAAGCAATAAAAATGAGAATATAGTGGGAATATACACATCCTAGGGGTCAAAGAAGCTGGTCCACCTTAAGGCTGTAAGTGGGAAAGCAGCTGGCTCAAAGGTGGGGGGCTTGAGTCTAGGAAGCAAGAGCAGTGATGAAGCCAAAGGGTGAAGGAGCTGTCGGGCACAGTACAGTGTGCCTTTTAAGGATTTTAGCTACAGAAGCTCACTGCTTATGAATTTTCAGTGACATAAACAGCCACGTGCCAGAACAAAAACAGATCACTTTGCTGCTAACAGATGTCTGAAGTCACATATACATGTCACTTTGGACTTTGAGGCAGTCTTTCCTGCTGGAGTCGGAGAGGAGCGTTTGCAGTTGGGAAGGGTGAGAGCATGTTAGAACAGGCACCTGGCAGAGTAGGGGGCTAGAAGGGCAGGCAGATGCCTGACCATGCTGCTGAAAGGACATTAAGATACTCTGACCACAAAACGCTTTGCCTCGCCTCAAGAACTGGAAATATAGGCTGGGGCCATGGCTCAGTGGTAGAGCGCTCGCCTAGCATGCGTGAGGCACTGGGTTCGATCCTCAGCACCACATATTAACAAAATAAAGATATTGTGCCCACCTATAGCTAAAAAATAAATATTAAAAAAAAACCCTGGAAATAAAGATTTAAGAGTTCTAAGCCTGCCTTACTTTTGGGGAAGAACATATACTCTTTGAGAATAATGAAATATTAATTTGATCCACTAGATAAGAGAATAAAAAAAGCCAATTAAAAATTAATTAGCCTTAGCCAGACGCCATGGTGCCTGCCTGTAATCCCAGCCGCTTGGGAGGATCATAAGGAGAATCTCAAGTTCGAAGCCAGCCTCAGCAATTTAGTGTGGCCCTCAGTAATTTTTTTAAATTAGCTTTAAACAAAAGTATTATGCTATAAAAAAAGAGAAAATAGATTTCTAATACAGATGAATTAAAAATAGTCCCAAAGACTTAAAAATATTTAGTATTTTATAAAAAACAAGTTTGAAATTCCCTAAAGTAAATTAAATTCAGTGTAATCCTAATAAAAATTTCAATAGGATGTGGGGAGATGGGGATTCAGAGTGTGATAAAATTCTCAGTCTGTTTGGAATGCTAAACATCTAGGAATACTGAAGAAACTCTTGAAAAGGAAGACTGATGAGTGAGAATCAGGCCTAGATAGTAGAGCATCACAATTATCACACATTGAAACTGCATGGCACTAACTTAGGAACAGACAGAACAAGAGAGAAGGTCAACTACATGAGGGAATTCAATATGTAATAACCATTGGCAGATGACTACTAACATTCGACAGTGCTGGGACAAGGGATGAGCCTTCTGCACAGAAAAAAGCTTAGTACCTAACTCATACCTTACACTCAATTTTCAGACAAACTAGGGGTTGGCAATTTTTTTTCTGTTCAGGGCCAGATAGTAAATCCTTCAGGCTTTGTGGGTCATTAGGTTTCTGTCACAATCACTGGCCTCTGCCATCGTAGTACAAATGCATCCACAGACAATATGGAAACAAATGGATGCACCAATGTTCCAATAAAGTTTCATCTATAGACCCTGAAGTCTGAAATTCATATATATTTTAAAAAATGTAATATCATGAAATGCCATTGTCTGAGTTTTACTTCTGCTTTTCTTTCGTTTTTCTAGTACTAGGGTCTAAATCCAGGGCCACACACATTGCCAGACAAGTGTTCTAAAACTGAGCTATATCCCCAGACCTACTGATTTTTACTTTATTTATTTATTTATTTTTTGGTACTATGGATTGAATCCTCAGGGGCCCTTTACCACTGAGCTACATCCCTAGCCTATTTTACTTTTTAATTTGAGAGAGGGTCTTACTAAGTTGCTTAGAGCCTCACTAAATTGCTGAGGCTGGCCTCAACAGACAAACAGGTTAGTTTCCCCCAACCTACACTGTATAAGCAGCCACTAGCTGTTGGTTGTTGAACTTTTAAAATGTGACTTGTCCAAATTGTGGTGTTCTGTTTAGTGTAAAATGAATAGTGGATTTCAAAGCCTTAGTACAAAAAAAGTAAACAAATAGTCCACCAAAAATGTTTTTATACCAGTTGAATACTGAAGTATTGATGTACAACATACTGAGTTGAATAATTAAAATAACTAAAATTAAGATAATTAAAATTAATTTCATTTTTTTCTTCTTACTAGAAATGCTTAAGGCTGAGGCAGGAAGATGGTGAGTTCAAAGCCAGTCTCAGCAAAGAAGGGAGCTGCTAAGAAACTCAGTGCAACCCTATCTCTAAATACAATACAAACTAGGGCTGGGGATGTGGCTCAGTGGTTGAGCGCTTGCCTCACATGCAAGAGGCACTGGGTTCGGTCCTCAGCATCACATAAATAAATAAATTAATAAAATAAAGATATTAAAAAGAAAAAGAGATGTTAAATACTTAAAAAAAGAAATAGTAGCAATCACAAAAAAAAAAAAAAAGAGAAATACAGCAATAGGAAAAGATATTCAACATATATCATTTTTAAAGGCATGGTATAAAAACAAGTTGTAGGGAAAATAATCCCATTTTTAAAAAAATATAAGTGTGATTACTTTTCATGTATAGAAACAGACCCAAAAAGCTGTGCAATCAATTTATTTTTTAACAGTTTATCTCTGAAGATGAAAACATGAAGCATGGAAAAGGTCCATTTTTAACTCTATATATTTTATACTGGAAATTCTACATTGATGATACATAAATATTTACATTAAAAAGGAACCTTTCCCCAAATCACAATTAACTTCATGATTAACTGATACGGATACATTTTTATTTTGGAGAAATAGTCATCAAGAATACTAGTCAATTTGACTAGTTACTACAACTAAAATTAAATATATAAAAAAACAGAATACTAAACCTTTCTCTCAATTTCATCATCCAGTCTTTGTAGTTCCATTTCACGTTGATCTTGCTGAAGCTTCAGAAAACGCCTTCTAGCAGCATCTTGTAAGTATAATTCCTTTATCTTCAGCTCTCTTTTCACAGCAGCTAATCTTAGGTACAAAATACATCAAAGGGAACATTTCCCAATACAGACTTAATTTTTTCACAATAACAACCTGCAACTTATTTTGATGCCACTTGCCCATTTAACTGGTGCCATGGTAACACAACGGTGTTTATAACACATAAATGAACAATGCCCAACTATACAAGTCCACATGTAGGCATGTAGATGATAAATGGCCCACACACAATGGGCTATTCTTCTTACACTCACATTTCGAACAGGTCTACCAGTTAGATTGTTTCAACGTGAGCTGATAAACTTTATATGAAGGAAAAATGCCAAAAAATACTCCAATGTTACCAAACATGACGTATGCTTATTCTTTTAGAATTTTAATAGAATGCTAAAAGCTCAGTTCTGTAATTCCTTTTAACCTAGAATTTTGTTTCATAAAGTTTCACCCCAAAATAAAAATCAATAAACACAGAAACAAGTTTCCAAACAGGCTTAGTCTAATTGTTTATCCAATAATCGTAATTAAACATTTTTACCTCATTAACATACTCCTGAAAAAGCATTTAATATTTCTTCCCTTGTTCTCCAAAGCATTAGATGAATAATGAGAATTATTTTATGTTTCAATTGTCAGGTCACATCCTTATGTTCAAAACACAATTTAAAAAATTATACTCCAGGGGCTGGGGTTGTGGTTCACTGGCAAAGTGCTTGCCTTGCACATGTGAGGCACTGGGTTCAATCCTCAGCATCACATAAAAAATAAATAAACAAAATAAAGATATTGTGTCCCTCTATAAAAAAAAATTGAAAAAAAAATTATACAATTATACTCCACCTAATGTGATTTACCCAGTATTCTATTACAAAGCATTTCTGCCTACTGTAATGTTTCTAGGAAATCTTCTTCAAGGTACATTAGATCTCATATGAATTCTGAGTAATCAGTGCAAAGTTATATCATATTCAGCATAGCTTTAAAATTATATTTTATTTTATACCTTTTTTGAAAGGTGGTATAAATTTTTTTATTAACTTACACATTTGCTTAATGGAAACTAAACTGATAATTCTGCATATAGCATTGTTCCTATATAAGAAATGGAAGAAAAGAAAAGTTATTCAACTGACTCATGTGCATAGTTTTCTTTCAGATGCAAACATACCTCTGTCTTTGCTGCATCATCTTTTCCTCCTCTTGCAAGAGCATTTCTCTTCTTGTTTCTTCAGCTTTACGGAGCAGCTCTTGTTTCTGGTACCATGCTTCATCTTTGATTCTTTGCTGGTCCACTTCAGCATGCATATCTTCAACTGCCTGCCTTAAGGAGACAATATTTATTATTATGAAAACACAAACAAGCAAGCTTAGTGATTTAGTCCAAAGACAATCAAAACACAAAATGTATACTTGATTAATATGCAGTAACTGATTTTACTTCCAGATTAAGAATTAAATGTTTAAAGATACCTCCAGCCTTCAAACTTTGATTTTGCAAAAATACTTAAAATTTAATAGATTTTTCATTAAAAATTTTCTGGCTTATATTTATAACAGATTTCATTTCTATCAAAGAACAAGTATTTCATGATTACCTCTCTCTCAAGTAATCCAATTCATCTTTCCTTATTCGTTCTCGTTCCTGTGTCTGATAGTCCACAATAAACTTCGGATATTGATTAAATATTGGATATTGTCCTTTTGTCAGTGCAACAAAAACATCCAGCACATTGTCTGGGTGAATGTGAGCAGGCGTGGTCTCCATGAGATGATAAACTTCTCTAATCACAACATTTATATCCAGGTTATTCCGATGGTGAAAAAAATACTGTAAAAAAACTTGATGTTTAAATCAAGATTTACCTAACAAAACAATTTTGAGGCAGAGTTAAAACAAGATTTCAGAAATATAAATGTGAATTTAAACATTTTTTTTTGGCAAATTCACTGAAGGCTTTCTTAATCCAAGTTTTAAAATAAACATTCAATTTTGTATTTTCAAAATATAATAAGATGCCACAACTATATTATGAAATTTTGAAATCAAACAGTTTACATTTTAACTGAATATGAAGACTTTCATTATAGTAGAAAAAGAATGCTTTAACAAATGAGACCATTTCCACTGTTTGGATTTTTAAAAATTCAAAATCCAAAATAAATATATTAGAAAATAAATTAGTTGGGTGGCTTAAAGATATCTGAAATAGTTCTATATTATCTTGTTCTGGCAGATCCAATTTCTAAAATACATATGTATGTACTATGTAACCAAAAAGTAAAAGTAAAGTTTAATTTGGTAGAAATCACAAAATCGGTTACAAATACACACAAAAACCTGAACGAATTCATCCAATCCACCAAAAGAGACTCTCCTTTTTAAAACCACCCCCATTCTGTACAATGCCCACATTCAGATTTTCATTTTTTTTTAAGTCAATGTCTTACTGACAACAACTAAATGGTGTTTACAGCATTTTTATCATGTGGTAGATTCCACCTATTCACTATATTTTCTAAATTGTCCTACATGTAAATACATTTTTGATATCGTCTATCTTATAAGTTTACTATTAAAGTACATTAAACTATTAAAAAAAAACAACCCACTTCCAATGCCTTCTTTCAGTCACTTTCTTAGCAAGCCCCTGGACCCTCAGTCACCATTTTGCATGTGTAATAAGCATCCCAACCACGGGCTAGTCAGATAGGTCACTGATAAGATCATTACAGAATAACTGACTACTGAAGTGGTCAACATCTTTTACAAAGGCTAAAAAAAAAAAAAAAAGAAAAAGAAAAAAAAAATCACAAAACCAGGGGCTGTAGCTTAGTAGCAGAACACTTGCCTGCTCATAAACCCAGTGCTGATTTTTTTTTTAATTAAAGAAAAACAAATATAAGTACAAAACCCCAACGTTATCATAATTTTCTTCTGACACCATGACTGTAAGACTCAGAGCCTGCTGTCATTGTTTAATCACGTACAAACTACAGGGATGCAGTCCAACTTGTTATCCATTATATTCCTGCCACCTAGCACCACAGCCTAACATACAGTAGTAGGTGCTCAATTACATTTTTCAACTGAAATAGTTAAAATTTGAAAACCTTCTCTTAAGAATAGATATTTACCTCAAAATCATCCTTAAGAGTACAATTGAGCAAAGGAGCTCTAGAACATATGCTGTAGGCTACCACAGTCATCAGCAGAAAGGAGGGATGGTTGGAAAAGACGTTGTCAAATAATTTGAGCCATTCCTCTCTTGTCAGTACTTCTGAGAACACAGTTTCAAGAAGAGGCCAAGCATACAGCTAAAATAAATGTGGAAAAAATTCATTAGTTTTCTAATGAAAAATCAAAATGAAGTCATTGATAATATTCTCTGATATTCAAGCTATGAAAATAATTATATTAAATACATAATTATGAAAAAAACTACCTCTTCGTAGACTTTAAGGAAGGCAGTTTAAATATAAAGAATGGTTTACTGTTTTATTTTTTGAAGTACTGGGGATTAAGCCCAGAGGTGCTCTATCATTGAGCTACATCCCCACCACTTTTTATTTTTTACTTTGAGATAGGGTCTTAGACCACCCCCAACTAGCTAGGATTACAGGTGTAGGCCACTGCACCTGGCTTACTATGCTTTTTATTATATGCCTTCACAAAAATACTGTTCCATTTATACCAGAATCAACGTTAACTCCTCAAATAAGTTATGTTATTCTAAAACTCTTATACCTCTTACCTGAGATGTTATATCATGAGCTATGAAGTGCTGCAGCAGTTCCTTGTCATGAAATGCTAAAATGTTTTCTATTATACTAAGAATATTGATAGGAGGATTAGGAAAGTATTCAAACCAGTGTTGACACCAATTGACTACAAAGGAAAAAGAAAAACAGAAAATTCATCTTTAAATACTTTTCTATATTATCAAAGGTCTTTATAACTCTTAAATGTATCCACTGTTTCTGTCCTCAATATATCCATGAATAAAAACATAACCTTTTACATTTGTTCTTAGAATAAGCGATTTTTAAAATTCTATGTTGAAATAGAATCTTAGGTGCAAACTTTTTCAGAGTAGTAAATGAAAATATGTCAATTAGAAAATGTGTCAATTTTTTAAAATATATATATATATATATTAGTTGTCAATGGACCTTTTTATTTTATCTATTTTATTTATTTATATGTGGTGCTGAGGATCAAACCCAGGGCCTCACACATGCCAGGCAAGCATTCTATCACTGATCTACAACTCCAGCCCCTTTCCAAGGTATTTCTGATCTTAGTTACAGGATATAGGATATTCTGGTTTCTGGGACCTCCTGTTTTATCCTTCTCTTGAGTAAAGGATCCCTTTTGTAAAAGGTTCCTATGCAGGTGTTCCTTAAATGTGCTCAATGTTAATATGCCTACTTCCTTAAATCTATTAAAATTTATGCATTATCAAAGTTAGAAAAGCTTTGGGAGGTGCGATAGTGCGTGCCTGTAATTCCAGCTCCTTGGAAGGAGGATTGCAAGCTTGAGGCCTGCCTCAGCCAATTAGTATCTCAAAACAAAAGGTTGACACTAGTATGGCAATATGTAAATCAATGGATGTGTAACTGATGTGAGTCTGCAATCTGTATACGGGGTAAAAATGGGAGTTCATAACCCACTTGAATCAAAGTGTGAAATATGATATATCAAGAACTATATGTTTTGAACAACCAACAATAAAAATTAAAAAAAGAAAAGGCTGGGAAAAACAAAAGGTTAAAAGGGCTGGGAATGTGCTCCGTGATAGAGTGCCTCTGGGTTAAATTTTCAGTACCAAAAGAAAAAAAAAAAAAAAGTTAGAAAAGTTTAGGAAAAATGCTCACAATTACATTCTTACATATTCATACACACATACTTAAAACAGATGTCTATATATTGTAGCCTTTATCCATTAAATGACAATTAAAAAGTCCCCATTCCCAGGAAAAGACTGATTGTTTATAACCATAATAACAAGTACCATAGGAACTAGTTTTAAATTTCATTAATCAATGACATTTTGTTTCAGTAAACCTGAATTTCATAACCAACCAGCAGTACTCTCTGAAAGTCAGCTAGTCCAAATTAGACTCCATTTCACTGAAAAGGTTTCTAAGGCTGACTTAAACTCACTGCCCTGTGTAATCAGTGTAGCTAAAAAAGGTCTTCTCAAAAGATAATTGGTTAGTTTTGCTTACTGCTTCAACTGTCCTTTAGATATTAAATTCATATATATACATACACACACACACACACACACACACACACACACACACACTTAAAATTTTTTTTTAATGGTAGTTGGACACGATACCTTTATTTATTTATTTATTTTTATGTGGTGCTGAGGATCAAACCCAGGACCTTGCATGTGCGAGGCAAGCACTCTACCGCTAAGCCACAACCCCAGCCCCATATTAAATTCTTTTTTAAAAATTAATTAATTGATTTTAATTAGGTATATATGACAGCAGAATGCATTTTGATTCATCGTACACAAATGCACCACAACTTTTCATTTCTCTGCACATGACGTAGCGTTGCACCATATTTGTAGTCATTCACATACCTAGGGTAATGATGTCCATCTCATTCCACCATCTTTCCTGTCCCCACACTCCCTCCCCTGCCCTCTGGACTGTAAGTTCCAAAGCCACACAGACACATAGCAGAGTAAAGAGAAAGGATAATGGTATGGAGTGTCTATGTATTCCAAATAATACACAGAAGTGACTGTTTGCTTTCAAATTTTCTTCTAGGCACCATCTGGACTGTAAGTTCCAAAGCCATACAGACACATATAAAGTCAGGGTTCTTCAACTCTATTAATTATACAATTTATATAATTAAATATATAAATTATATATATATATAAATGTATATATATATATATAAATTCTGCTTTTTAATTTTAAATACAGGCTGAGTCTCCCCTATCTGAAATGTCTGGAACCAAAAGTGTTTCAGATTTCAGAGTTTTTTGGGTTTTGGAATATTTGCAAAACTTTACCAGGTGAGCATCCTTAATCCCAAAGTTCTGCTCCAAAATCTGAAAATCTGAAAGTGTCATGTTGGCACTCAAAATTTTAGTTTCTGAATTTAGAATTTTCAGATTAGGAATGTTCAACCTGTATTGAGTTGTGGTTTCGTCCTTTGATAGTAAGCTCTCCTATTTAAAATTAGCAAAAGAAGTCTTTATTAACAGAATATTGTATTACATGTGGTTTGTAGGGACTTTCTAATTTTGGGTTTTATTATATTACTGAGCATTTAAATGTGAGCTAGATTATTAAGTCATAAATAAAATCTTCCAAAGACTAAGTTTGAAAAGAAATATTTCAATTTTTCTAAATTGCTGTTTTAAAATAAGTTAATTTAAAAAGGAAAATTGGGTTCAGCAGCATTTTACCAAGTACCTTTTATGTCTCAGACACTACAATGTCACTCTATGCCACAACACACACAAAGCTCTTATCCTCCCCATAACATTAATAGAATACTGTTTTCAAACAAGAGAAAAATCCTATCTACATTAACCATTTGCCTTAAGTATTTTTATTCCACTTTGGTACCACCACAAAAGACATATGACACAGACACAAATAAAGTCAGAGTTCTATTTAGCCCCAAAATTAACCACCTGCAGTGACTCTTTGCATTCATATTGATTCTTTACATTGCCTCTTTAAATCCTATGACCTCTTTACCATTCTTCAGCTTTTTTGGTAACCTACAGATATATAATTGTGTAAAGTATGATATATAATTTGAGCGCCATACATATAAGTCATTTCATTGGAAAGGAATAAAAAATTTTGTAATTACCAAGTGAAACCAGGAAGACTTAGTGAAATAAAGCCAATGAAACTGATGTACTCTGAGAATCTATTAAAGCCCTTCAATAAATACTGACACTATGGCCAGGCACTATTGTGCCTTTTGTAATCCCAGTGACTAGGAGGTTGAGACAGAAAGATAGCAAATTCAAGTCCAGCCTCAGAAACTTAGTAAGGCTCTAAGCAACTTAGTGAGACCCTGTCTCAAAATAAAAAAATAAAAAGGGCTGGGGGTGTGGCTCAGTGGTAAAATGATCCTGGGTTCAATCCCTGACACCAAAAACAAAACAAAACCTGACATGGTAAAGACACAGGGTGGCAATCTATGCTATTGGCATAGCACACTCATGTGTGTGTGTGTGTGTGTGTGTGTGTGTTACTAGAAATAAACGTATAGTCTTGTATACTTACTTAAATTATGTTTCTTTCTTTTTTTAATAGGTTATGCTAGTATATGCACACTATGAAATATTACAATCAATAAAAACACCTAAGAAATTTATAAAAATTAGGGAAATTTACACAATATTAAATATTAAATAAAACCATGATTAAATAACAAACTGCTTAAAGCACAGAAAAAGTAGAAAGGTAAATAAGTTATGGTATACCTATAAGTTGAAATATTATATTATACAGGCAATAAATAATGCTTTCCAAGCATATGTAGAAATTTGGAAGGAAATACCCATTAGAAATTTATCAATATATTACCAAATATTGTTTCTGGAGAGGAAAAATACTGAATTTTCTTCTGTATACTTTCTCTAATGATCAACAAAAATATTATCAAAATAAGTACAATGTAATAAAAAAGTATGGAGGGAATTATAATATCATAATATGTATGCTTGAATTTTAATTTAATTTAATTTAATCCAATTTAACAGACATGATTTTACTAATATGAAAATAATGACCCATTTGCTGGCATAGATGATGGTGGTGGGCAATGACCTTAATGGCAGCAGATTATGGAATGTGACTGCCTGGGTCAGATGCTTGCTGCCACCAACCTAACCTTGGATAACCTAAGTACTCTGTGTTTCAGTCTCCTCATTTGTAAAAAGGAGGTAATATCTACCAAATAGAATTATTGTGAAGATTAAATGCATTAACAAAGTAAAACATCTTTGATCTACACATCAGGCACCTAAGAACAGTGTCTGGTACACAGAAAGTGCTCAAATAAATGTTAGCCACAGATGACGAAGATAAACAACAGGCACCGTGTGCAAAGTGCTTTACAAACTCACCAATCCAATGAAGAATAACTGCCTTTCAGTAAGTGGGGGATCTGCTTCTTTCTTCACAACCAAATCCAGTGTGAATATCTTCTAAAATTTATCCACCCAAATTTCCCCTGTTTTTGGTGGGTGGTGGTGGTTGTATGAGGGATTGAACTCAGGGGCATTCGACCACTGAGCCACATCCTCAGCCCTATTTTGTATTTTATTTAGAGACAGGGCCTCACTAAGTAGCTCAGCACCTTGCCTTTGCTGAGGCTGGTTTGAATTCATGATCCTCCAGCCTCAGCCTCTGGAGCTGCTGGGATTACAGGTGTGTAACACAGCTCCTGACCCAAATTTTCTTGTAAATAAAATGTTTTTTTTTTTTAATTTAATTCTTTTATTTTTTAAATACATGACATCGGAATGCATCACTATTCTTATTACACATATAGAACATAATTTTTCATATCTCTGTTTGTATATAAAGTATGTTCACACCAATTCATGTCTTCATATATGTATTTTGGATAATGATGTCCATTACATTCCACCATCATTCCTAACTCCCTGCCCCCTCCCACCCCTCTGTCCTATCTAGAGTTCGTCTATTCCTCCCATGTTCCCCCTCCCTACCCCACTATGGGTCAGTCACCTTATATCAGAGAAAACATTCATCATTTGTATTTTTGGGATGGGCTAACTTCACTTAGCATTATCTTCTCCAACTGTATCCATTTACCTGCAAATGCCATGATTTTATTCTCTTTTATTGCTGAGTAATATTCCATTACATGTTTGAAATGTCCATTTTGTGTAAAACCTGATTGTTCCACACTTTCCTGACTTAAATAAGTAGAGAAATCTAGGATTGTTGTTAGGTGTCACAAAGGTGCCAAATCATCAGGAAAATGTTTTAAGAATCCATTCTTGGTTCATTCTGTAATCATTATCTACTTACTTATGAGAGTAGCAACGACTTCAAAACAGATAAGCTGGTTGTTCTGGAATAATTTCACAAACGGAAATGCCAAAAGTGGAAGATAGGGTGTGTCGCTAAAGATGGCAGACCAATGAGCTAAAGCAGACAGGGTTCTGTGAATAAAATAAGAAAATAAAGACCAGAAAACAATAATGTCATTAAAATTTGTGAATAAAAAATACCGTCACATGATAAAAATTTCAATACAGAAGGTATATTTGGTGAAAATTGTTCCTTTTACCTATCATCTAGATCCTTTCCTCTAAAGCAATTTAATTATAAAACCTCTTTTTAAAAGCACAAATCATGGTATATTATAAACATTCTTCTGTACCTTGCATTTTACAAATAATAATCTGTTGGAAATAGTAAATATCAGGCACTTTTTTTTTTTAAATGATCCCCATTCTTGGGCCTTTAAGAGTCTTCTAATCTTTTATAAACAATGCTGTGCTGAGTATGAGTATATGTCCATCATTCTTCATGTGGTAATACAAATTTGGATAAATTCCCAGAAGTGGAATTGATGGGTCAAAGGATGTGTATGTTTGTAATTTCAATAGCCAGACCAGGCACAGTGGGGCATGGCTGGAACCCCAGTGACTTGGAAGCTGAGGCAGAAGGATTATAAATTGGAGGCCAGTCTCACCAAATTAGTGAGACCCTAAAAATAAAAATCAAATAAATAAAAATGGCAGAGGATGTAATTTAGCGGTAAAGTGCTCCTGAGTTAACTCCCAGTTTAAAAAAAAAAAAATCCACAACCACTACCAAATTGTCATCCACAAAGTACTTACATTCCCATCACTTGTGTAAAAGGATGCCTGTTTTCTCATACTCTTGTCAACATAATTTATTATCAACCATTTATTTCTAGGTGAGAAATGACACTTTTATTATGAGGAAGATCAACAGCATCTTTTCATGTTTAAGAACAATTTCCAGTGCTGTGATCTGTATGTTAAATTCTTTATCTATTTTTCATTGATCAGTTTTTTTCACAATTATTTATATGAATATTTCATATGTTAGAGAAATGAGCCTTTCATCTGTCATGTTTTACCTGTATTTTCTCCATTTCACGTCTTTGTGTAGAAATTTTTTTCACATGTTGAGATATTGTATTCATATCAATCTCTTTGATATGTCAAGCTTATTATACTTTGGATTATAATTCTCCAATATTTACTTCTAATACCTTTAAGGTTTCTTTTAAACTTTGTATTTTGAAATAATTTTGTATTTAAAAATCACAAAAATAGAGACTGGGGTTGTAGCTCAGTTGGTACAGTGTTTGCCTTGCATGTGTTGTTGTTGTTTTTAACCTTTATTTTATTTATTTATTTTTATGTGGTGCTGAGGATTGAACCCAGAGCCTTGTATGTGCTAGGTGAGCGCTCTATTGCTGAGCCACACCCCAGCACCTGGGGTAAGGTTTTAAGATAATCAATTTAGTTTTTGGAAAACTGATAAATAAAAAAAAAAAGTACTATGCATTTAACCTGCCTTTCCTATGTGGATTCTATCCTAGAGTAGCCAAATAACAGAAATTTTCCTTTAAAAAATTTCCCAGTTTAGGGTCTGGGGTTGTGGCTCAGCAGTAGAGTGCTCGCCTAGCACATGCAAGACACTGGGTTCAATCCTTAGCACCACACAAAAATAAATGAAATAAAGGTATTGTGTCCAACTACAACTAAAAAAAAATATTTAAAAAATTTCCCAGTTCATAAAAAGAGAAGAAATGATAGAACTAGATTTTGTCAGTGTTTTGCTGATCTCTGGGGAAGTAACAGGCCTATTGGATGATCATTAATAACCATTAACATCTCCAAAAGAGAGACAATCAGTAAACTTCCTAACAGATGTACATAAGGCCACCTACAAAGTTTTCTTGAAAAACAAAAAAAACAAACATCAAAGGGTAAAAAATAAAAATCTTGTACCAGAGCAGGACCCTAGCTTGATTATCACTTTATAGTAAATTCGGGACAAAATGGAACATGGTAAATAACACCATGGGAACAAATCAGAAAACTCCAAAATATGGACAATTCATATTGTAAGTTAACTCCTGGTTTCTTCAACAACTAAATCGAAAAAAAAAGAAGGAATCAGAATTGGTAGATTAAAACAAAAGCTCAAAAAGAATAACAACAAAATGTAATGTGTGCACCTTGTTTGGACCCTGATTTACCATAAAAAATTTCCTAAGACAGAGTAATGGAAAAGATGATGGGGTACTTAAGGATACTGAAGAATTTGTTAATTCTTTTTTTGGTGTGATAATGGTAAAGTGCTTGCTTATCTTAAAGGAGCCCCTATCCTTTAGAGATATGTGTACAACTATTTAGTAGGGTGTGTGAAAGTGAATTGAGACAAGGCAGGTGGTGTGAGAGGGGTGTGGAGTGAGTGGAAGTACTAACACAATAAGACTTGCCTGAATGGGCAGCTACTGAGCTGGGTGACAGGCCCCACTGAGATATTCCTTATATTCCTACGCATACTTATGCTTACAACTTTTCATAAAAAAAGCTTAATTTAGTAAGTCTTGCACTTACATGACTGGGTCATATTTCCTAACTTCTCCATGCTTGCTTGCTTGCTCTATCTCTCTATCGCTCTATCTATCGCTCTATCTATCTATCTATCTATCTATCTATTTATATGTGGTGCTGAGGATCGAACCCAGGGCCTTGCATGTACGAGGGAGTGCTCTACTGCTAAGCCATAGCCCTAGCCCCTATGCTTCTATGTTTTTTTTATCTGTAAAATAAGTTAAGTATATATATTTGTAGTGCTTAAAACATGAGAAGTACTTTAAAGGGCTATATTATTGATATTTGTTGAGTACTTAATATGAAATATACACTAGCATAAGCATTCTAAAAGAGGTTCTCATCTAATTACTCCAATAATCTTATGATGTTGGTATTGTTAGACCCATTTTCAGATAACTGAAGGGTGAGAAGTAAAATAGCATCTCCTACATCACAGTTGTCAAGTGGTGGAACAAGGACTTAAAACTGGGTGTTTTGCCTCCAAATTCAAAACTCTTTTTACCATGCAGCTCTGTTCCTGAAGATCATTTGAAAGATTCCTATTTTCTAGAACACAATGCAAACTAATTTTCATATATATATATATATATCTGTTTTATTTTTACTAGTATGTAACACAGGCTAATCAAAGCTGACTGAACAATACAAAGGGAGGATTGTAAAGCATTGCAGTTTTGAGTTACAGGTTTTATATATACACATATTTCTGCAATCTTCGGAACATACCTCTGTAATACTCTGAGTAGTTTCCTACTTTTGATGGGGTATTGCTTCTGAAGGTTGATAAATGCCTCATGAATACCTTTATCTATTAGGCTACTAAATGCTGTATGATTTTCCGGCAGTTGTAGTAGAGCACGCCAAATGAACATTCTGAAATTAAAATATATTTTTAAATAAATTTTTTTTTGAAAATTTTGAAATTTTAAAAATGATTTAACAATAAAAGATTTAAAACTTTACCTGTATTTTGTTGGATATTCACCATAGCCTTTTAATAAGATTTGTAAACGTTTTTTGTTTAATCCATCTGACAATTCATTCTAAAAAAAGAAAAAAAAGAAGTGACATAATCATGAAACTGAAAACATGGTCATCTTGTCCACAGTGGCTTTCCAACTTTAGAATACACACACAGTAAGAAATATTATTCACATCACCAGATTCTATATCACACACACTCTCTCCCTCCTTCCTTTTAAGCACAGACAGATACACAGCAAATATAGTTTATTATGTATTCTTTTCCCAGGAGAGGACTTTTTTAAAAAGTTAGTAAATTCTTCAGGTTTTGGGAGCCAACGGAAAAGATAAAAAAAATATTGTGTAGATATTTACATAGCCATTAAAAATGTAGCCATTTTAAAATGTAAAAATTATTCTTAGCTTGAATAGCCTGACTGGGGCCATGGTTGTAATTTTCTTTCTTCCCTCACCATCTCTCTCTCTTTTTCTTAAAATTCTCAACAGTTCCCTCAAATGAAAGCACGAAGGCCAACTCTGGTGGAAAATCTTATCTAGTTCAGCCTTTTATCCTCAGTAACTTCTGACAGCTCCTTACATCTAAAACTTTCAAGTCAATTTTTAATCTTAGTAGAAAAATAATTTTTATGGGCTTTAGCTATTTTCATAAACTATCTCATTTGATGCTAACAACTACATAAAGGAGGTGGGATGTTATCTTCCTTTATTCATGAAAATGGGAAGATTAGAGTTCAGTGACTTGCTCATGGTCAGGAATCTGCAAGTCCTGGCTCAAACCTGACACCCGATTCTGTTTTAGTTCAGTGATCTTTTTGCTACAAGAAACTAAATATTCAAGAAAGTAGTGAAGGAAAGCCCAGATGATGATGAAAGAAGATTCCCATTCAAGAACCAGACACCAGACACAGAGTGCAACCAGTCCAGTCAGGAGCAAAGTGATCCAGGAAGGAGAAACGCTGACTACTGCCAACAAGATACTGGCCACCGCTGATTCCTCTTGTTAAACAAACTATAGAACACTCTGGGGAGTTGGGGATGAATTTTATCTGTTCTTGTCTTGGCCATCAGCTCCTGGTGCCAAGCCTCGTTGAAGACATGCATTTCTTCCCACATCTGTGTTTCACTGAACTTCTTCCTTAGGGCTGGCTCTGGGTTCCTCAGAAGCAGCTCACTCCCTGACATCATTTGGTAGGAGATCCACACTGGTCCACTAGAGGACTGCCAGAAACTCTGATTGTGATAAGCCTTTTATTTTTATAAGTCACCTGTGATCATATTCATTAGTTTTCCCAGAAAAGACTCTTGTAAATTCCCTGGAATGCTGAATCAAACAAAGCACCAAATCCGAAGACAGTATTACAACCATCCGACACAGGGTTCATATGTAAGACTTCCAGGTCAAGTGTCGGGTAGCACTCAGCTCATCTTCTTCTAGAGCGTTCACTGAATAGGAGCAATACCACCCAATCTTCACACAGCTTTAGCTTTGTGCTGGCTATTCAATTTTTTTTAAAACTAAGTGATAGTTTCTAGGGTTACATGAAGAGAAGTCATAAAAATATAAAGCAAATCAATGACATCATTAATACACAAGAGAGAACAACAGTTACATCTATGGGGTGAAGAGAAAAGTGTGATAAGCACTTAGAAGGCTCCAAAGCTCCTGCTAATGCTTTATATCTTAATGTAGAAATGGGTATGTGCAGAAAAAAGTAAATATAGCATGTCTAGTCCTGTTACCCTTAGAAGGCTTGTTTGTAAGTTTGGCTCATGTTTGTGTCTAGAAGATAGAATTTGGAAGAATTTCTATCATCCTCACAACCAATAAGAATTGTTCAATGTGCCTAAATTGTATAATGTGGTTTATGATGAACACTTAAGAGTGTTCACTTTTCTCTCAAAGTCTGGAACTTAAAACATGTTAAGCAGGTGCCTATATAACCAGCAAAAGCCTTGGGCACTGAGTCTAATGATTTCCTTGATAGATAATACTTCACATATGCCTTCAGAATTTACCGCTGGAGGAATCAAGTATGCCTTGTGACCCAGGGGGAGAGTACTCAGGGAAGCACGTGGCCTGCTTTTCTCTAGACTTCACCTTTGCTAATTGTGCTTTGGATCTTTTCACTGTTACATGTGTGTAACAAAGCACCAAATATGAAGACAGTACTAGAGCCACCCAACACAGGGTACATATGTGATCTTTTTATTTATTTTTATTAAGTTGTAATATGCTTTATACATTCTTCTGTGTGTGTGTGTTTCATATTTTTAAAAGGCTTCAAGATAAAGTTATTTAAACTAATGTGAAAAATACCAAATGTTGGTGAGAACATGGAGCAACTAGAACTCTCAAATACTGCTCGTGGGCATGTAAATTTGCTTCAACCAGTTGGCAAGGTGCTGGTAAAGTTCCTTTTTTTTTTTTAATATGTGTCATGGTAACACTGGTGTGTCTGGTTTGTGAAAATTCATTGTATACTTGTGTATACTCGTGTACTCTGCAAGTGTGCGTATTTATTTATCATCAATAAAGAGCTTAAAAATTCCTCTAAAATGACATAACTTCTCTATTCATATTTATATTCTCTTTCTATTCCAAAGTACTATCAGTGCTTTAGAGGAAGTTAGGAAAACACACAAAAATTTATATAAGAAGAAAACTCACTGAAATTTCTACCCTCAAAGGTAAGTCTACTATTAGCATCCCAGCTACTTCTAGGAGGATAAAGATGGGACAATGAGCAAGGAGAAAGAAAGGCATACTTGAATTTCCCCCCTTTATTATTTTCTGTATCAGCATTGTCTAAAAGGTACAACATGGGCTACAAAATTAAAAATTTTCTAGGAATCACATTCAAAACATAGAGAAATAGGGAAAATTCAGCTTAATATTGATTCTAAGTTTTCACACCTTCTTACTGTGAAAGTGTTTTAATTTAGAGTGTGTTTTAGAAAGTGTTTTAATTCAGACTAGCCACACCTCAAGTATTCAGTCACATGCTAGTGGCTAGCATATTAGACAGTACAGTTCTGTACTGTCTTTTTAAAGTACTTAAACATGTGCTACATTTATGTCAAAACATAAAATGCATAAAAGCACAATGTAATTTCAGTTACCATGTTCTTCTCTTCATATAATATTCCTTTAGGTTCCAGGACAGGGAAGTGATAGTGGCCTACAAATCACAAAATTTGCCTACAATGGTGTTATGATAAAACAGAATTTAATGATAAAATATTCTTACCTCTTTATTTTCAAAAGTACCAGTGAGGTCTTGTTTTAATATTCTAGTCTGAATTTTGCTATCTCTGGATTTTGTTGGCCGCTGTATTCTTCCTGAAGGAACCATCATCTTAACATCACTGGCATTCAGTTTATTCTTGGGCAAATCTTCGATTACTTTCACTAAAGGAGGTGGTGGCTGAAAGGAGAAAAAAAAACTATATGTACACACACAGTGGATATCCTTGGAAAATAGGTCTTTATATATGATTTCTGAAATTATGTATAATTATTCTTCAGGTAAAAAGTATAAGTAAAATGTCTAACAATGTTTTCTTTTCCTTCTTCTTCTTCTTTTTTTTTTTTTTTTTTTGTACAAGGGATTGAACCCAGGAGCGCTTTTAAATTCTTTTAAATTTTGGGACAGGGTCTCATTAGATTGCTGAGGGCCTTACTAATTTGCTGAGGCTGGCCATGAACTTGTGATCCTCCTGCTTTAGCTTCCCAAGCCACTGGATTACAGGAGTGTGCCATAGCACCCAGCTTTAAGATTATTGACTAATAAAGCAAATTTCTGCCATATTTCTTTGAAAAAGAATGATACATGATTAATAGCAGCAATAGGTAGAATTTAATTATTCCTTGAAAGCTGGCCTAAAACCATACAATGCAAACCCATTTCCATGCTTGCATGACAAGGTTAGTAGTACAGTGACACTCTACTCCAGAGAAGGTATAGCTGCCCACGTGGTCATCAAAACTCTGAGAGAACCACCCTAGCAGTCTTCAGGCTCAAGTGATATCCAAGGGAGAGGAAACTGCCAAACGACTTTCCTCTGACAGCACAGGACCCCCACCTCTCTGTCCAGACTCAAGGCTATAATCCACTCAGTGAGGACTGTCAGTTCTTTACTATATCAACTGCTCTGAGGCAGCTCAGATGGCATGACTTAGGACCCAAACCCTTATTTTTATGGGGTATATCAAATGGGAAAATAACCGACAACTTCCATGTATGCAAGGTAAAAGGACTCATTAGAATCTGTTCTCCATACATCAGATTCTCTTTGAAATCAGAAGATACTCCTTATTCAAAAGAAATAAGCAGATAAGGTCACTGAGACTTTCCACATTCTAAACACAATTAAAGCACAACGACCATTTATATTCTATGATTTAGTTCTTTAATTCTTCATCTATGGAATAGAATTAAAAGTAGTCTTGACTTAAATATTATGCTCATCTTTAATATCCTTAGTTTATCTGCTCTCTGACTTCAACCCTTTCTTCTAAATTTGTATCAAACTTTTTTTTTATTCTAATGTTGTTTTCCCCTAGTTGTACTTCATCGTCCACCTGAATTACAACCTCCAAGAGTCAGGGCCTGAGATGTGACCTGATTTGACATACCTTTGTACTGTTACAATTTCAACACATAAGAATCCGTTTACTTATTATTAGCCCAGTATCAGAAATTCTCTCAGGACAAGGAAAGTGCAGAAACAAAATGTGGAAGGAATGGTACACAGGTGGGTTCAGGTTTTTAGAGAATATGCAGCTGAAGATCCATAAAGACAATGATGGTGCAGGGGATGTACCCAAAACTTGGAAAGAGTATTCCACCTTGTTTAAATTAAGCTGGGTTTTCTGTTCAATGTCATCTCAATTTGCTCAATAAATAAGAGCATGGAGGAACTCTATGAGTCACTCCTACCACAGTTGTTCTCAGATACCTCCCTGCCTCTTTCTATGGTTTAGTTAGTACTGAAAAACTAACTAATAAGGCTGAAAAGTCTCTCATTAAGGATAGATAATGTACAAATATTTTAAAATATATTAATATATAATAAATATTATAATACATAAAATATTGCTATATGTTATGTGTAAACATAATAATCTAAATAAGAACCACAGAGCATAATCCAATGTTAGAGAAGATGCATGTTTATAGACACCTACACATACACATGTTTAGATGATTATTCGCAGCTCTGTGGATTTACTTCAAACACTGAATGAGTGAATATTGAATCCTGATTCTAGGGGAAAAGAGTTGAATTCCTGGGAGCCTCTGGCCACAACATTTTCATCAACTGATCAATAATATAACCTTGTTTTATGTGTGCTTCTGTTTAAAGAAAGAACTTCATTCAATATACATTGTTGATTCATTATCATTGAACCCAGAGCCCAAAGCAGTGTGACAATGACTAAATGAGTTTTTCTAACATACATATTTTCATTTAAGGCACAGCACAGCCTTCTTGTGCTCAGAAACACCACAGACAACTCTATAGCACTATGACTAGGCTTCACTTTAAACCATGAAATCACAACAGAAAGCCCCAAAGTGCAGAAACATGACACTAAAAGGACCACGAAAAAGAGACAAGATTAGAATACAAGAGCTGCAACAAGAAAGCAAAGCACTGCCTTGTTCAACTTTAGGGCACAGAGCAACTCAAAATTTTCACTACATCTGCAAATGACTATAAAAGCTCCGCAAGAAATGATTTTGGCATTACAAATAAATTTTAGCGAATAGGCAAATTCTCAAATATACCCACAAATAGCAAGGGGTGACTGCATATATTTATACAAAAAAGACAAAAGACTGAGAATGCAAACATTAAAGTCATCTGAGAATGCTGAGACATTAAGTAATTTTTATTTATTTGTTATCGGTAGTTTTTGATTTTTTTCCTGAAATGAGACACTTATTACTTGTATAATGTTTTTAAAAAGGTAAAGGCAAAAAAGAGACACACACACACACACACACACAAATACTGTGTTAAGAATCAGACACCTAGAATCAAAGTGTGGAATATGATATGTCAAGAAATTTGTAATGTTTTGAACAACCCACAATAAAAAATTAAAAAAAAAAAAAAAAAGAATCAGACACCTGCTCCACTAGCGACTAGCTGTGTGACTAGGCTGGGGCACAAACCTCCCTAGGACGACTAGGAGTCTGCATACAATCTAACTTGTTAGCTGGAGGGCTTTTAGAGAACCACAGCAGAGGGCTGGGAGTGTATCTGATGTAGGTACCAGATGCAGAAATAAAAATGGTTCCAACAAGGGACCATGAATATGTACGAATACATTCAGACTTCATTTTCCATAATAGATGCAATGTATCATCCATGTGGGCTGATTACTGATTATGGACAATAAGAAAAGTTTTAAGAATGGGAAAATAAGTGAGGTAAAAGGATTAGAGAGGACATTGAGAGCCAAGTAGAAGAGTCTGGACAGAATGCAAAAGAAGGAAGCCACTAAAGTGTCATTATTTAAGAAATAATGATGAAAGTATTTTAGAAAAATGTTGTACAGGAGATAAGACTGATGGGCAGGGATAGCACCGTGGGCTCTAAGGTTAGGGTATTTGTTTAAATTACTGCTATTCATGGGTACTTTATGAGGAAAAAAAAACAAGTACAGTTATTATGGAGACAGAGAAGCAGCACACAGATATTTCAAATTTAAGAAATTATATGACTTAGTATTAACAAGATTTAGGAAATAAAGAAACAGTCACAGAGCTTCAAGTTTTCTAGCCACAAGATGGGAAGAAAGAGGAGACAGAAATAAAGAAACTAAGATTAAATACCTCTTGTGGGAAGGAGATCATGAATGATATCTTGCATGAGACAAGGACACCAAACAGGTCATTTAAAAAGGCAACCACTTAAGCAAGGAACATTGGTGAGAAATCACAACTGGAAATGTGGCTCTGGGAATAAGAGCAACAAAATACACCAAAAAAATAGGTGGTAAATTCCAAGTCAGAAAAGAGGAGCATGGATATTCTTCTTCTTCTTCTTCTTCTTCTTCTTCTTTTTTTTTTTTTGGTTCTAGTTAGTTATACATGACAGCAGAATGCATTTCAATTCATTGTACACAAATAGAGCACAACATTTCAATTCTCTGATTGTACATGATGTAGAGTTGCACTGTTCGTGCAATGGATTTTATTCTTGATACAATACTGAAATGTTTTTAAAAAAACTGATGTTTACTTGATATCATACCTTATTTATTTCTTGTGTTAAAGCCTGAACTGAATATATATTCAGACTTCCATTTTCCATAATAGATGCAATGTATCGTCCATGTGGGCTAATTACTGATGTGCTAATTCCTTCATCAAGGCTTCCAATTTCAAAGAGAAGTTTACAAGTCTGTACATTGATAAATCTCATAATACCATCTTGACTTAGCACTCCAAGAACCTAAAGGTAGAAAGAAACAAAGAATTATTAAAAAACATTTCCAATGTCTAAAAGTCAAACTGTATATTCGTATACTTTACTAGGCATGTGTGTATTCATATATGAATATAATTTTTGGTAGGGGGACAAGTGAAGATCCATTCTCAGTGAGACATTATACATTTTAAAAGCACTAATTATGGTTCATGTTGATTTGCTCTGTTCAAGCCCAAATCTGGCTTTAACCAGAACCAGGAATGCATCCTGGGAGACTATGAAAGGTGACACAAGAATCTTCCCTCCCCACAGGTATGCCATGTCCACTGATGACATACAGAGGGGATACATGACTAACAGTTTCAAACCTTTACCTCCACTGCTGTCAGAAGCAGAGAAGACAGGGTTTATCTACCAATTCCCCTCTACCTGCACCCACGTCTCCTGGTGAGGCTCCCCACTGTTTACCTGTCTTCTGCAATTGTAACTAATATTTGGGGAGTGGAGAAAGATTTGGGGTTGCAAAACATCTTTGTTGTAGATGAGTTAGAGGGAAGCTAGTCTTTTAAGAGAAAAAATTAATTTGAATTTGAAACATTAAAAGCATGTAATAAAAAAGTTTAAGCAAACAAACTCTCTGCTCTCTGGGCCTTAGGCATAGGCTCTTTCTCAGAGCAGGTAGCTATAAGTGGTAACACCAACTGATTCCTCAAAATGCAGATGCTGCTTGTTATACAAAAACTAGTTTGGAGGGGACAGTCTCAAAAATGTGTTTTTCTCTTCATCAGCTGGTAGAGAACAAACTCCCTCATCTGCAGCTAATGGAAACCTTTTGGTAAGATCCTATCCAAATTATAGATGCACATGATCTTTATGCCATTATTTCAATTCTGGAATTTTATCTTACAAATAGGATGTGTAAAATGGCATTTGCTACAAGCTGTTCTGTGCTATATTATTTGTAACAGGAAAGGACTAAAATTAACTAAGGAGCCCAATAATAAAACTGATTTAAAAAAATAAGTATGAAACACTACTCAGCTATAAAAAAGAAGTTCTATACTAATAGAGAATAATCTCCAAATTAAGTGAAGGATAAAAGGTGCAAGGATTGTATAAAAAGAGGGGAAAACATGATGTTATATATAAAAACAGTGGTTATAGGGGATCAGACCCAAGGGAGAGAGGGCTGAGGCCCTTACCACTACCTGCTTTTTATAAGTTTTATAATTTCAACCATGTGAATGCATTATCTATTCAAAAATGTATGTATAATAGATATGATATATATATGCAAACATTCTGTATACATATGTATGTATGTACGTATGCATAAAACATAATGAGTGTAATTTGTTAAAGTGTGAGGTCCATGATGGTCAATTAAAATAAGAAAGTTAAGGTAAATATTTGTGAGAAATATAAAGAACATAAGATTTTGCAATTTTTTCAAGTCTAGCCTCTTCACAAAAATAATATACTTTAGGGGCTAGAGTTGTGGCTCAGAGGTAGAGTGCTCGCCAAGCATGCATGAGGCACTGGGTTCGATCCTCAGCACCACATAAAAATAAAGACATTGTGCCCACCTATAAGCAAAAAATAAATATTAAAAAAAATATACTTAGAATTTCAGATTCTTGTCTGTCAGGGTATAAGTTAAATAAGTATAAGCTAAAATAGTTTAATGTCCTACAATTCCATTACTAACCTGATTAGAACCAGCATCAAAACTATCAGGAAGAAATTCCAGATGGCGAATGGCTCTAACTTTAGTTGGCATTTGGATAATTCTGAAGAGCTGTGTAGCTTCCAAGCACCACAAATGAAGGTGATTTGATTTGCCTCCAGCAGCCAGGATTCGACCATCTCTATATTACCAAAAAGATGAAAAAGTAAGACCAGCTGACCTGTCAACAGCATTACGGTTCCACAGAACTTTCTGTGATGACAGAAATGCTCTCTATGCTGTCTAAAGTAGTGACCACTAGCCACATGATTACTGACTGCTTGAATTGTGACCAGTGCTACTGAGGAAATTAATTTTTATTTTTATTAATTTAAATAATCACATGTGGCCAGTGGCTACCAGACAGGACAGTTTACATTTACAGGGGTGTGTATATGCATACATTTTTTTCACCTTTTGTGTTAAGGCATCAGCTTAACAAACACTTGTGTGACCACTTGATCAGGGGTTTTCTGAGTAACATTTACATTTTATAGCATAATCTCTCACTATACAACTATACAACTTTTATATTTCACATACAATTATACAGAATTGATAGTGCATTGCTATACATATAAAAACATTAAAAAAGGCCAAACTTTTCCTACTCAAAGAAGGAAAGGTGCAAAAAGGATAAGTAGTATTGGTTTGCAAGGCTATTGCTTATTTATTCGAGGACTTATCAAGTTCCTACTAAAAGGCAGCTATCACTGTAGCAGCCAGGGACAGAGGAGGAAATAAAGCTCTTTGAAGAGAGCTATATAGGAAAGTGACAGGACTTGACAATGATTTTTTTTTTTTAATTACTACTGGGGATTGAACCCAGGGCCTTATGCATGCTAGGCAAGCACTCTACCAACTGAACTATATCGCCAGCGTCACTGACAATGATTTAAAAGATCACTCTATCTGCTTGTGCAGAGACTGATGTTAGGAAATGGAAGTGAAAATAAGTAGACTAAATAAGGAGGCTAGTACAGCAGTCTGAAAAGAGACTAAAGTTGCTTGGGCTAGGGTAAGATCAGTGACAATGGACAAAAAATTTGAACAACTCGATTTGATGAGTGTAATTTGTTAAAGTGTGAGATCCATGATGGTTTGATAGTTGATGGGATTTACTGATGACCTAGACGAAGAGTAAGAGAAAAGAGGAATTGACCCCAATTTCCCAGCTCTTCCATTGAAGAGGCCTAGAAATACTGATCAACCCAATCACAACAAGATTAGGGGCTCAAAATACCATCTTCCAATAAACTGAACTCACATTCTTTAGAGAAATAGCCGATTCCAGGCTTGGGACAAAATGTACAAGATAGACATGGAATATCTAGACCTATCAGAAAGCATAAAAGCTACTATAGGCAACTGGGGTGGTATCAAAAGGGATTCAAGAACAAACTTGAAAAGGATCCCACTGGTCAAAGATGAAAGAACCAATGCACCACCAAGGCTATTAATGGCAAGCTGGGCACAGTGAAGTATGCCTGTAATCCCAGCGACTCTGGAGGCTAAGCAGGAGGATCACAAGTTCAAGGCCAGCCCCAGCAACTTATCAAGAGACCTGTCTCATAACAAAAAACAAGAAGGACAGGATGTAGGTGGGTGTTAAAGCACCCCTGGGTTCAATCTACACACACAACAACAAACAAACAAAAACCCCTAAAACTACATTGCATTAAAATGTACCAACTATGTTAAATCTATGAGTCTACAAAGATTAAATATAAAAAACTTCAATGACCACCTTTGAAAAATGCCAATAAATCAATTTTTACATAGAAAACTGGCTGAAAAAAGAAAGAGAAGAAAATCAAGCATTTTCCTGTTTTTCCTTTACAAACTATATATCAAAGTAATCAGGGTGGACGAGTGGAAGTGTTTCTATGAAAGGGTTCTAATTAATAAGTGAAGAAATGACAGAATTAGAACTAGTTAATAAGTGAAGAAGGAAAGTCAAAATAGCACCATTGTGCTAACCACTTTTCCAATAGTGGATCTAGGTAATGATTATTAATGGCCATTAAAATCAGAAGAGAAAGGGTTCTAGATTGCTCCTGAAGAAAGTACACAAACCACTTATAAGATTTTCTTGCTTCTTGCTCAGATAAAGTCTCCAGTTTTTAGATATACAAATATAATCAGCGTATAGGAAATACATACATAATAGGAACATATTAATAATACAACATAGACATAAAGAGTAAAATCCACAATACATAAAACTGCAGGAGAGATGATCAGTTAACAAATACATATCCACCAAATCCAATGTGTGAACCTTGTTCTGTGGCTGATTTAAACAATTCAGTCATAAAAAAGACAAATCAGGGAAATTTTAACAATGATGTACGGCAATATTAAGAAATATTTAATTTTTAAAACGTGATAATGACTCTATGGTTATGTTCTTAAAATAGCCCTTATCTCTTTTTAGAGGTATGCATTGAAATATTTATGGATGAAATGATATACTTAATCTTTGTTCAAAACAATACAGTAGGAGCAATAGATACAGACAAAAACAGGAGTAGCCATTAGTTGATTACTGTAGCTGGTCAGAGTACTTAAGAGTTCATGCACCTTTTTATTTTTGTGTATTTTTGAAATTTTGCAAAAATAAAGTAAAAAAAAAAAGCCTGCAGACCACATCTAAATTTGAAGAAAACTGTTCCTTACTCAACAAGAAGGTAATCAATGAAAATTTGTAATTTTCAGCAGAAATTACATTTCTTTAAAAATTCCCAGTCTTAAAATGCACGTTACCTGGTCACAGCAAACACTTTATATATAATACTTGAGCTTTCAGGTGGAGCGGGCAATTGATATTTGCAAAAAAGAGTATCACATTCCCAGGCAAAGATGGAATTATCTTTAAAACAGCTGAGGATGGTATTACTTAAAGGAAGAAAGAAAACCTAAAGAGCAATAGAACAAGTTATCTTTTATGTAAGGTTCAGATAGTCCTCTTAAAATTATAAATTTTCCTTTTTTAAAAAAATTACCTTTTTTTAAACTAGAGAAAAATACATTTCTAACACATGACAGGATAATACTGATATTTCATAAATTATAATACACTAAAAAAGAAATGGTAAAACCTTTTCAACTAAAAGATTATGTGACTGTAATGACTAGACAATTCACAAAATTCTAAGTAAAAATCTAAAACTTTTTATCTTTTATTAAAGGACTCAAATGAAAATAACATTCTGAGCATCAAACTTATTCAAAAACCAATGACAGACACATAAACAAACTGATGTTCACACAATATACAATAATGAAATCACCAAACCACATATCTCTCAGAACGTATCCTTCACACACAAACACACACACACCCAACACATATTTATAAATTAACTAACTATCAGTCATCTGCCACATAATGTTTCATTGTTTCTTTTCGGTCAACATCGTTGTCTCCTAAATCATAATAGAGCTGTAAAGTTACTATCACCTAGTGAGGTGGTAGCACAACTCATTACTCAAGTGTGTGGGTGATGCTGGTGTAAACAAACCTAATGCACTGTCAGTTGTGAGAGTATAGTTCACATGATAATGTACAGTACATGCTAGCTGATAATAATAAATGACTATGTTTCTGCTCTATGTTTTTATTATACTATATTTTTTATCATTACTTTAGACTGTACTCACTCTACTCATTAAAAAAAAAAAAAAAAAAGAAGTATGCTATGTTGCCCTGGAAACAGCCTCATATATGTCATGCTCACCCCATCTCTTGATCACATCAAGAGGCCACATAGGGTGAGTGACCTATGCCATCAGGGTTTGTGTTAAGTACACTCTCTGATGTTCACACAACATACAACTGTGAAATCACCAAACGACATGTCTCTCAGAACATGACCCTTGTCAGTCAGCAATAGTTCCAATACTAAATGCTGATAAATATTAAAAATACCAGTGAAAGTGCAGGGAAAGGGCAGTGTCACACACTGCTGCAGGGAGTGAACACTAGCTAAAGACATTACACAACCTGTCTCAGCAGTCTTAAAATACATCTCTCAGGTAGTTAATTCATTTCCTAGAGTTAGCCCTTCAGGCAGCCAGGCGCAGTGGTGCACGCCTATAGTCTCAGCAACTTGAGAAGTAGGAGGATCCCAAGTTCAAGGCCAATTTTGACAACTTAGTGAGACCCTGTTTCAAATTAAAAAATAAAAAGGGCTGGGGATGTAGCTCAGTGGTTGAGCACCCCTGGGTTCTACCCCTACTCCCTAATCACCACAACTACCAAAAAAAGAAAAAAAAGAGAGAGAGAGACAGTCCTTTGAGAATAGTTGGAAATCATTTTAAGATAAATATAAGCATTATTTATAAGACTAAAAAGGTGAAAAGGCATACATGATCATATTTTATTACAGATTTGATTTATATAAAGAACTGAGAGAGAAATTCATTAATAGCAGAGTTAAAATGTCTTTATTTTACTCTCTTAATTTCCATTTTATACAAGCATTAATAATACTTCCTTTTGATAGTACAAAATTTTAATTAAAATTGACCAACATTTTCTCACCAGAGCTTAAACGGCCTCAAATTCAATTCTATGAATACATCTGCTCAATATTTTTTTTTTTTTTGAGAGAGAGAGAGAGAGAGAGAGAATTTTTTAATATTTATTTTTTAGTTTCGGTGGACACAACATCTTTATTTTATTTTTATGTGGTGCTGAGGTTTGAACCCAGTGCCCCGCACATGCCAGACAAGCTTGTTACTTCTTGAGCCACATCCTCAGCCCTGCACAATATTTACACATATACAACACACCATGAAATATACTGGTTAATTAAAACCATCTATTCTGGATTAATGTCAATCAGACACAATAAAAATGCTAATAACTACATAAAATTCTGGTAGATCATACAAGGATCTGATCCACCTTGTCACTTTTTGTGTTTGGCTCACTTGCTAAACACAACTCCTAGTAGTCTGCTAAGAGATTGATTATGTTAGGAAAATTTATAATATAAAGGTCTTATAGAAGATATTTACAATAGATACATTATAATCTATAATAAATACATTAAGAAACTGTTTGAAAGGCTGGGGCTATGGCTCAGCAGTAGAGTGCTTGCCCAACACATGCAAGGCCCTGGGTTCAATCCTCAGCACCAAGTAAAAATAAATAAAATAAAGGTATTATGTCCAACTAAAAAATAAATATTTTTTAAAAATATCAAAAATGACATAATAAAATTCTTATTATAATTTGCAGTCATTTTTTCTAGAAAAGTAATAAAGTTTATTCCAACTGGAGAAGCAAAAGCTTAAAAGTTAATGAGCATCAATTGCTATTTTAGGGGAATAGTTGTGATAGATTAGTGCCTGCATGATTATTCATTACTAGATTTGTGATTTTAATTGCCAGATTTTAATGATTACAAAATTGTTCTTAATGAATCATATGTCACTATTATTTAGATAGTGTCATCTCTTGATACCATAAAAAACTTAGGAAAAACATTAACAATATATATTGGGGGTGTTGAATTCAGGGATGGGGTTGCAGTTTTTCCTTGTAGAATGTAAAAATCCTAAACTTTCTGTGTTAGTCTTTTTTTCTGTTTCCATAATAAAATACCTGAGATTAGGGAATCTGTAAAAGAGGTTTACATAGTTTACATTTATAGAGGTCTAAGAGTGTGGTACCTCCTCTTGCTCAGCCCTGATGAGGGCTTTCTGGAGACAGTATAGCAGCAACACTCTGGAAGGGTAAGAGAGAGGGAGAAACCACAAGGCAAGAAGCCAGAGGAATTCAGGGGCCAGGCTTGCTCTTTTCACAATCTCTTTCTCCTTTACCAGAGTCCCCCAAGAACTGCATTGATTCCTTCTAAGTGTGGAGCCTCAATGAAGGCCCCATCTCCCAACACTGCCACATTAAGGACCAGCACTTGCACCTCTGAGGGACAAAACACAAATTATATCCAAATCAGAACTTTCCAATTCAATTTTGAGATGTATGTAAGCTATTCTTAAAGTCTGAAGACTTTAGGATAGTTACATTAGCAAGTTAAGGTCAAATGCATAATTTAGCAAGTTCTCATTGTAAGGAGACCCAGAATTAAGCTTGGCAACACTATTAAACATGTCCTGATATCCATCATAAAGCTTTTTCTGGCTGGGTGTGGTGATGCGTGCCTATTATAATCCTAGCAGCTCAGGAGGCTGAGGCAGGTGGATTGCAAGTTCAATGCCAGCCTCAGGAACAAAGTGAGGCTCTAAGCAACTTAGTGAGAACCTGTCTCAAAATGAAAAATTTTAAAAAAGGGGCTGGGGATATGGCTCAGTGGGTACACACCCCTGGGTTCAATCTCTAGTACCTAAATAAATGAATAAAATTAAAAACTTTTTCTGATACATACTAAACCACAGGAATCATAAAGCCAGGATTTATTCCTAAATCCATGAAGAACTGAATATCTTACTTTGAAGCTTCAACAAAAGAATCACAATGTAATAATTTGAAGAGGTGTAACTGGTTTACCTGAGAAGCAATATGGTGTGATGGAAAGCTTTTCGGAAAGACAGGTTTGAATTCAAACTGCAACTCTTTTTGCAAACAATGCAACACAGGACAAGTTACTTGATGTTTCTGAACTTCAGTTTATCCTTTTATAAAAACAAATTACTTCATGTTTCTGAACTTCAGTTTATCCTTTTATAAAAACAAGTTACTTCATGTTTCTGAACTTCAGTTTATCCTTTTATAAAAACAAGTTACTTCATGTTTCTGAACTTCAGTTTATCCTTTTATAAAAACAAAGTGCCAGTTACATTGTATGTAAGCAACTGGCATCTATTGCTATTAGTATTTCTGCTCCTAATACATACCAAAAGAAAAAAGAAAAAAAATCAGTGGAAAGGGGTTAGAGTCCTTTTAAAAATACTTTGAAGGCTAGGTTTGTAGCTCAGTGAGCACTTGCCTCATGTGCATGAGGCACTGCGTTCAATACTCAGCACCACATTAAAAAAATAAATAAATAAAATAAAGATACTGTGTCCATCTACAATTAAAAAAAATTAAAAAAAAAAACACTTTGAAAGTCAGACATAGTGGCTCATATCTATAATCCCAGCGATTTGGTAGGCTGAGGCAGGAAGATCTCAAGTTCATGGCCACCTAGGCAATTTAGTGAGACTCTGTCTCAAAATAAGAAACAAAAAGGACTAGGGATATATCTCAATGGAAAAGCACCCCTGGGTTCAATCCCCAGTAGCAAATAAATAAATAAAAACACTTTGAAACAAAGATCCATAGTTCTTTGTCTGAAACCTTTGAGGCCAGATGTATTTCAGAATTATTTTCAACTTAAGTACTGCAATGTAACACATATTCCATAGCATCATATGACCTATGCCAACAGCTTATACTCAAATATGTTATTACAACCTCACATCAATTCAGCTCAAATTTTTGCTGCCCTATTAACCAAGGTCAAAACATATTTTGCCACCGAGTTAAACACTTCTGGGCAACCAGCACTGTGCTAAGTGATTTGCATTGGTAAATATTTTGTTGAAAAGTTTAACATGACTCTATCGCAAAGTCTTTAGATTTAACTTCTAGTTCATAAGAAATGCACAGTAGCAAAAAACAAGTTAAACAACAATGATGAAACACTAAGACAAATACAGAATGTGGGGCATTTTCCAAAACAACTGGCCTGATATCTCCAAAAAGTTAATGTCATGGAGAAAAAAAATGGAACATTTTTAGACTAAAAAGTGGAATATTTTATGATGGCACTAAAAGTGCCATCATAAAATGAACTTCATATGGGAGGGGAGGGAAGGGAAGGGGGAATAGGAAGGACAGCAGAATAAAATAGACATAGTATTGCTGTATGTATATATGTGACTGTATGATCAATGTGATTCTGCAACCTATATACTCAGAATAATGAGAAATTATACCCCATTTGATTCAAAGGTATGATATGTCAAGATCATTGTACTGTCATGTGTAACTAATTAAAACAAATTTAAAAAAAGAATCTGGAAAAAAATTATGTCATTTAAATGAAAATGGATGGATCTTGACACCTATGTTAAGCAAAATAAACCAAACTCAGAAGGCCAAAAAAAAAAAAAAAAAAATGAACTTCATAGCAAAAGACCCAAAGAAAGTTACTTCAAGGATTTCATGCATCAGCAAAATAAAAAAATATTTCAAAGTTCTACTTAAAATTTAGAAATCAGAACCTAGAATAAAAATCCAGGGTTAGTAAAAATTTAAAAAGACTTAAATTTTACTTTAAGAGTAGGATATTTATTTCCTATTTTCAACAGTGTAAGCCAGTGGTAGAACTGTCTAGCCCACCTCTAATTTTTGTATAGCCCAGGAACTAAGAATGTTTTACATTTTTAAGGGGCTACATAATTTTACTCTTGGCCTGAAAAGACAAAAACATTTACAATCTAGTTCTTTAAGAAAGAGTTTGCTGGTAATTTATAGACTATGGCGTTCTATTCTTAAAATAGTACACTTATATGCATATATCATACATATACTTTTTTTCCCCAAATTTAATTTTATTCTTATACCACTAATATTTGGAATCATACTTTTTTAAACTAAAATGTCTAAATTACCAAGCAAGGTTAGCATTGGCAACTATCTAGTGTGTATAATTTTAATTTCATGGTAAAAGGAACAGATGGTCTTTGTGTTGTTGTTTTATAACTCTATTTCCATTGTGGGCTCCAATTCCCAATGCTCTTTTCTTTGGAATTTAAAATTCAATTTAAGTGCTAAAGCAATTAAAGAAGAAAAGACCTACTAAGACATTTAGTCTAAAGCCCTACTGAATAAGCTGGCTATAACTTTATCTCTTTTTAATTATTAAAGGCACACAAAGGAACTCTGGGATTTCCAGGGGGACTACAAAACAAATTTTTGGTTTGACATGCATTACTAGCTATTCCTGTTAATAACAAAGAAATTAAAAGCAATACTGCAAATACAATATAACCTCAAGCAAAGTAAACTATCACATGGGAGACCTAGATACTCCTGAAAACAGTACTTAGCTAATCAAAAAGAAAAAAATTAAACTTAAAAGCAAAAGAAATGGATTTGTGAGTCTGTCTGTATAGTTCTGGGGATTGAACCCAAGGGTACTCTATAACTGAGCTACACCCTGAGCACTTTTAATTTTTCATATATATAAGGTTTTTTAAAAAATATTTTTTTAGTTGTCGATGGACCTTTATTTTATTCATTTATTTATTTATATGCACTTCTGAGAATTAAACCTAGTGCCTCCCACATTCCAAGCAAGCGCTCTACCACTGAGCCACAACCCCAGACCATATAGTGTTTATTTTGAGATAGGGTCTTGCTAAGTTGCTGAGCTTGGACTTGAACTTGTGGTCCTTCCACCCCAGTCTCCCAAGTCACTGGCATTACAGGCATCTGTCACCATTCCCAGTTAAGAAATTGAAAATTTTTTAAAAAGGTAGTATATTTATACAATGTAATACTAATAAGTAATAAAATGGACAAGCTATTGATACCTAAAATATAGATGAAATCTCAAACATTATGCTGAGTGAAAAAACCTTACATAAACTATTACTGAGTAATTTAATTTGTATGAAATTTTAGAAAAGGCAAAACCAACCTATGGTGGAAAACATTATACTAGTGCTTACCCAGGAAGGATATGTTGGAAATTTCTGGGATAATGGTAATGATAGGGCTATATAGGTTATATGGTTGTATGCATTTGTTGAACTTAACAAATGAATACTTAAGACCTATGTATTTCATCATATAAAAATCTTACATTAATAAATATTGAACTATAGTCAATTAAACACAGGCTCAAGTACACTGATGTCTATGATTTAAAACACACTACAAAGAATTAATGAACAGAAGGATGGGAAGATGGACAAATCCATAATACAGACAAATTGCTATATGATTGAAGTTGCTCATAACAAAATTATGGGGCTGCAGCTAGAAACTGAAACCATCACATTGTGAGAGTTGGGTTTTCACAGCTGTAATTATAATAAAACTTTAAAAAAGAAAACTTAGTCTGAAAAGCACATGCCAAGATGCCTATCACTCACCTTCTGTATGCCCACTGACTGGCGAATATTCAGTTTTCTTTTTCTCTGAAAGGTATCCAAGTCCCACAGTTGTGCTGTATCAGAAGAAGTGGTGATGGCATATCTCCCTGATGCATGCACAGAGATTGAAAATACTGATGATTCATGTCCTCTCATCCAGCTAACTAGCTCCTTGGTGACTATGGTAAAAATAAAATTGTTGCACAAGTGAAGCACTATACATTCTACATGTTCACCTATACATACTACTGTACGTAAACACTATGCATGAACTGATTTAACTGATAACTACATATTACATAAGGCACCTCCACCAATATCCACGAAAAGGGAAGCCCACATGGCTGGCTGATAAAGTGTACCATGGGACATGTTAGTAACATGTGTCTGATGGAGGTATCAGAGGATGAGGCCTACAAAGAGTTTCAGAATAGCCTCAAATGTGACACTGAGTCTGGGAATTCTCTTGTGGGTAATAGTTTTATGTAGAAGAGTAGCATATATGGTCCATATTTTACAAAGAATACTTTGAGCACATATGGAGTATGTACTGGAAGAAGGGAAGATATTCAACAAGACTCCTTTATGTGTTGCTATAAAAATCCAGGCAGGAGATGAGGTAAACTAAGAAAGGATAATGGAAAAATGAAATAAATTCAAAAGCTATGAAGGAGAAATATCAAAGGACTTAGTGATCAAATTAATGTATTGAGATAAAGGAGGAATTATGACTCCAGTGGTTCTAGTTATGGAAGTAGATACTGATACTATTATGTAAGAAAAACAAGAGGAAGAACAGATTTTGCAGCATGGGAAAGAGAAAAGTTTGATTTTAAAAACTGATTTTGAGGTGTATTTGTGTAAGCAGAGAAACTGCCTGGTAAGGAAAACACCAAAAACTATCCATGATAATTATCACTAAGTAGTAAAAGTATAATAATTTTTATTTTATCCTCACATTTCTCTGTAATGTTTCCAAATTTTCTACAGTGGGCAAGCTTTACTTTTATGACCAGAATCCTTCCTCCATAAAGATGGAACTGAGAATAGTCAGAAAGCAAGACAACAACATGGAAACATTCAAACTGGGTCAAAACTGAAGATACAGGAACAAATTTCTTAGGAAAACAGTTGTGGCTTCCAAACACCAATGGAAAGTCTGGTATTAGTTAATGACTAATTTTTCACTGGTCTTCAGTAAAATGAAAAAAGGATAATACTGTAAGTTTTTCATAAAGCTAATGTTAAAATATTATTCTTTAATGTCCCTGCTTTATTAAATGAAATTATGTTTTTTCAATGTCAATTAGCAAAATTAAAAATTGATACATTAAGTGGTTCAGCTACTTAGAGAGGTCCTAAGCAACTTAGTGAGACCCTGTCTTAAAGTAAAAAAAAATTTAAAAGGGCTGAAGATATAGCTCAGTGGTAAAGCACCTCTGGATTCGATCTCCAGTAACCCCTCCAATATGTATATGTATATGTATACATATTACAGTAAAATTATAATTTTTATTTTATCCTCATACTTTTCTGTTGTTTCCAAATTTTCTACAGTGAACACGCTTTTTCATATTATATATATACACATGTACATACGTATATATATTACATATATATATAACATAAATAGTATATATAATACATTTTATATATGTATATATTATATATAATGTGGTATAAAACATACCAGTTATTATACATATATTATATTTTCTTTTTAATATATACCTATAGAATAAGGAGTTTTTCCTCCAAAGAGAGGTCTGGTTTTTGTTTAGGCTCCTATGAGGTAATTTCCCAACCCATTATTCATGGTGGTCCCTCAGGCAACATAAAAATGGTTTATGTTAAGAAGAGAACTCAGTAGGGCCTGACTGCACAGAAAGACCAATCACATCATTAGAAGGTCTATGAGTCTAGCCTCTTGGGAGGGCAGGAGCACTAGAAATTTATTCTACCACATGGGCGATATTTCAATCAATCATGCCTTTTTAGTGATAAAACCTGACACCAACCTTGGTGAACTTCCGGGGTTAGCAACATTGGTGCTGACTGCTACAGGTCAGTGCTGGGAGGGTAATGTGTCCCCGAGGACAAAGGAAGCTTCCCTTTTAGAAGATTCCCAGATTATATTATACCTCTCCTTCCTTTGGCTGGCTCTAATTTTTGCTACGTTATGACTATAATCACAAGTATAATGCTTTTCTAAATTCTGTGAGTTGTTCTAATGAATCACCGAACCTGAAGGTAGTTGGGGAACCATGAGTTGGGAAGCAGCCTATCTGAAGTGAAGAGGGTCCTGGGTCTGTTCCCTACTCTCACCCCACAGCTTGCCACTGTGTCTGAAGTGATGGCAGTCTTATGGGTTAATTCTTTGCAGTTCTTCAGTCTATGATTTGCTTTGGTTCAAAACTCAAAGAAGAGGACTTCTTACCTATATCAAAGCATTTAACAGAATAATCAGCCAATGCCACAAGGAATTCAGATTTCCTATGAAGATTAAAGGCCAGAGCCGTGCAAGCTTGTGTTGTTCGCTGAACAAGATTAAACCTATGAAGAGATCACTTAGTTATAATCAGAAATTCTATATATAAATCCACAAATTTTATGCTGGAGGAGTCTTTAGAAATGAGGAAAATGAGGCCCAGAAAAATGAGCCATTTTGATAGACAAAAAGTAGGTTATGAAAAGTGCTACGTGTCATATTAAAGAGTTTGAATTTTACTTACACAAAATGGGAAGCCACCATTAAGTTAGTTTTTTTAAATTTTTTTTTTAGTTGTAGATGGACACAATACCTTTATTTTATTTATTTTTATGTGGTGCTGAAGATTGAACCCAGTGCCTCTTGCGTGCTAGGTAAGCGCACTACCCCTGAGCCACAACCCCAGCACCCACCATTAGTTTTTAGCAAAGCAAAATCAGGATCAGGCATGTCTTTTAGGAAGATGTTCCTGGCAGCAATGGCAAATGAATGGAGGGAGAGGCAAGGAAGAAAAGGAATTCATTAAGAAAAGGAGCTCAGTGGTAAAGCACCTCTGGATTCAATCAAAGAATACTGGTTATATTAACTTTCATCATTTGTTGTTGTTTTCCTTCAGTACTAGGGATTAAACCCAGGGGTGCTCTACCACTGAGCTACATCCTCTGCCATTTTTATTTTTATTTCTTACTATGATGTCTGTCATTTAACAACAGGATGCAATACATGAGTGTTAACACATAAACAAGTATTCAGTTATAAAGACATATTGCATACATAAGGTAAATATAGGTTAAAAAAATGCACTGTAAACCTGGCATGATGGTCCATGCTTGTAATCCAAGCAAACTGGGAAGCTGAGTAATTTCAGAAATTTAAATTCAGCCTCAGCAACTTAGTGTGGTTTCAAGCAATTTAGCAAGACAGTCTCAAAATTTGAAAAAGTGGAGAGAGGGCTTAGGAATGTGGCTCAGTGTATAAAAATACCTAAACTTAAACTGAAATACAAAAAAAAAAAAAAAAAGTTTAAAATATTACACTTGAGAGTTACACATCAAAAATAGATTTCATATAATTCTTTTCTCAGTATTCAAAAGTGAAAATAGTAATTTTTGATTTAGAAAAACAATTATATTCTTTGAAAGATGAGGTTTCTTCACTATGCATATATTTATGACTGATATTTCTACAAAATAACTTGATAATGTTTAATAAATTTAAGCAAAATTTAAAGACAACTACTTGTTTCTAAATTTAAATGAGTTAAGTATTTTACTGATACTCATATACACCAAGGTGTAATATATAGATAATAACTTTACTATACTCTCACATTTATTATAAATGTTTCATTGTTATATGAGGCATACATTTTGGACAAAATCTGTTCAATATTCACTACTAGTATGAGTTTTCAGAAGTTTAATGAATTTAAAATTTAAATACATTTTAGATATATTATTTAACTTTTTAGGGTTTCTGGGCACAATGAATTCTCCAAAAATAAGCAGTGTTTAAGAAACATGTAGCTACAATTTTTTTTCCATTTGTATTTTCTCTAACCAGTATGCATCCACAGGTGCTGAGTATTGCTGAATAAATTTTGGAGGCATTGTCACATTGTCAATTTTCACATTTCAAAATTTTCTCTACGCTATGTTTATCGTGGTGAGGATTAAATGTTGTCCCTTTCTTAGAGTAATGGTAATACATTGGTCTCATTTGTAGAGCTTCTCTCCAGTGTGTTTTCTCTGATGTCTAGTAATATATGATATATAATTAAAATGTTTCTACATTCTCTACATTTAGATGTCTTCTTTCCAGAATAAGTAGCCTAGTGGTGAAAAGAATTGATTTCTTATTAAAAGCATTGTTTCAATTTGTAGGGGTTCTTTTCTGTATAAATTCTGTTAATAAGGTTTAGTCTTTCTTTTTTTTAATGTTTATTTTTTAGTTGTAGTTGGACACAATACCTTTATTTCACTTATTTATTTTTATGTGGTGCTGAGGATCGAACCCAGGATCTCAAACATGAAAGGCTAGCATGTTGCAGTAATTCACTTGCAGGTCAGCATGGGAAAAGAAAGAAGAAGCAGAGCAAGCAAAGCAGCAGCAGAAAAAAAGTCCTTTATTGTGTGCAAGCAATCTTTTTATAGTATTATGAACAAAGAAGTCAGCCTTCCAACATCAATAAATCAGGTCTTTCAGCTAATTAAACATAGCATACAGAAGTTTTACTTTCTAATCAGAAGTGACCCGCTTCTCATGGCTAATCTATTCTCGGCCTGGAGTATGATGAGCTCTGCTCTTTGTTAAGAACAGATAATAAAATTTTTCTCAGTGCCTTCTTAGCCCACTTGGCAGAACATCCCGTTTGCAGGCAAGTCCTCCCAAGGACAGTAGACACCTTGTTTTCAAGCATGTCCATAGTTACCTTATCTAAACCTTGAAGGAGTCTCTCGTTTGCAAGTAGGCCCTCCCAAGGACAGTAGACACCTCGTTTTCAAGCATGTCCGCTGTTACCTATCTATACCTTGACAGAATATCCTGTTTGCAGGCAGACTCCATCAAGGACAGTAATAGTAACGCAGTTACATCTGATTCTTTACACTAGCACTCTACCATGGAACTACAACCCCAGCCCCAAGGTTTAGTCTTTCTTTAAAAGTATTATTACTTTATTCACATTTCACATTCACCAGGATGTCTTCTGCTGTGGTGAATACAGTTTTATTTTTTATTAAAACTTTTCCACATTATTCACTTTTGTAGGGCTATTCTCCAGTGTGAGTTCTGTTATGGTGAATAAGGCCTGTTTTATTGCTAAAAGCTTTGCCACATTCCTTATATTTGTAAGGTTTCTCTCCAGTGTAAATTCTTCTGTGGCAAATAAGGTGTAATACTTGAGTAAAAACTTTGTCACATACTTTGCATTTGTGAGGCTTCTCTCCAGTGTGAGTTCTGTTATGGCAAATAAGGTGTGATTTTTGACTGAACGCTTTGCCACATTCTTTACATTTGTAAGGCTTCTCTCTAGTGTGAGTTCTTCTGTGGCAAATAAAGCCTGTTTTTTGAGTAAAAGCTTTGCCACATTCCTTACATTTGTAGGGTTTCTCTCCAGTGAGTTCTGCTGTGGTCAAGGTCTATTTTTTGACCAAAAGCTTTGCCACATTTTTTACATTTGTAGGGCATCTCTCCAGTGTGATTTCTCCTGTGGCGAATAAGGTTTGATGTGTCACCAAAAGCTCTGCCACCTTCTGTACATTTGTAGTGCTTCTCTCCAATGTGAGTTCTACTGTGGTAAATAAGGTCTGATTTTCGACCAAAAGGTTGGCCACAATCTTTACACTTGTAGGGATTCTCTCCAGTGTGAGTTCTCCTATGGCAAATTAGGTGTGATTTGTGACCAAAAGCTTTGCAACATTCTGTACATTTGTAGGGCTTCTCTCCAGTGTGAGTTTTTCTGTGGCAAATAAGGTTTGATTTTTCACCAAAAGCTTTGACACATTCTTTACATTTGTAGGGTTTCTCTCCAGTGTGAGTTCTTCTATGGTAAATAAGGTCTGATAATTGACCAAAAGCTTTGCCACAATCTTTACATTTGTAGGGCTTCTATCCAGTGTGAGTTCTCCTGTGGCAAATAAGGTGTGATTTTTGACCAAAAGCTTTGCCACATTCTGTACATTTGTAGGGCTTCTCTCCAGTGTGAGTTCTGATGTGGCAAGTAAGGTATGATTTTCGACCAAAAGCTTTGCCACATTCTGTACATTTGTAGGGCTTCTCTCCAGTGTGAGTTCTTCTGTGGCAAATAAGGTCTGATTTTAGACCAAAAGCTTTGTCACAATCTTTACATTTGTAGGGCTTCTCTCCAGTGTGAATTCTACTGTGGCGAATAAGGTGTGATTTTTGACCAAAAGCTTTGCTACATTCTGTACATTTGTAGGGCTTCTCTCCAGTGTGAGTTCTCCTGTGGCGAATAAGGTCTGATTTTTGGCCCAAAGCTTTTCCACATTCTTTACATTTATAGGGCTTCTCTCCAGTGTGAGTTCTGCTGTGGCAAATAAGGTCTGATTTTCGACCAAATGGTTTGCCACAATCTTTACATTTGTAGGGCTTCTCTCCAGTGTGAGTTCTACTGTGGCAAATAAGGTTTGATTTTTTACCAAAAGCTTTGCCACAATCTTTACATTTGTAGGGCTTCTCTCCAGTGTGAGTTCTGATGTGCCAAATAAGGTTTGATTTTTTACCAAAAGCTTTGCCACAATCTTTACATTTGTAGGGCTTCTCTCCAGTGTGAGTTCTGCTATGGCAAATAAGGTGTGATTTTCGACCAAAAGCTTTGCCACAATCTTTACATTTGTAGGGCTTCTCTCCAATGTGAGTTCTTCTGTGGCAAATTAGGAGTGATTTTAAACTGAAAGCTTTGTCACATTCTTTACATTTGTAAGGCTTCTCTCCAGTGTGAGTTCTGATGTGGCAAGTAAGGTATGATTTTTGACTGAATGCTTTGCCACAATCTTTACATTTGTAGGGCTTCTCTCCAGTGTGAGTTCTTCTGTGGCAAATTAGGAGTGATTTTTGACCAAAAGCTTTGCCACAATCTTTACATTTGTAGGGCTTCTCTCCAGTGTGAGTTCTACTGTGGTAAATAAGGTGTGATTTTTTACCAAAAGCTTTGCCACAATCTTTACATTTGTAGGGCTTCTCTCCAGTGTGAGTTCTCCTGTGGCAAATAAGGTCTGATTTTTGACCCAAAGCTTTGCCACAATCTTTACATTTGTAGGGCTTCTCTCCAGTGTGAGTTTTGATGTGCCAAATAAGGTTTGATTTTTGACCAAAAGCTTTGCCACAATCTTTACATTTGTAGGGCTTCTCTCCAGTGTGAGTTCTGCTGTGGCAAATAAGGTGTGATTTTTGACCAAAAGCTTTGCCACAATCTTTACATTTGTAGGGCTTCTCTCCAGTGTGAGTTCTACTGTGGCAAATAAGGTGTGATTTTTGACCAAAAGCTTTGCCACAATCTTTACATTTGTAGGGCTTCTCTCTAGTGTGAGTTCTGCTGTGGCAAATTAGGAGTGATTTTTGACCAAAAGCTTTGCCACAATCTTTACATTTGTAAGGCTTCTCTCCAGTGTGAGTTCTGATGTGGCAAGTAAGGTGTGATTTTTGACCGAAAGCTTTGCCACATTCTGTACATTTGTAGGGCTTCTCTCCAGTGTGAGTTCTTCTGTGGCAAATTAGGAGTGATTTTCGACCAAAAGCTTTGCCACAATCTTTACATTTGTAGGGCTTCTCTCCATTGTGGGTTCCTCTGTGGTAAATAAGACCCTTTTTTTTACTAAAAGCTTTGCAACATTCTTTATATTTGTAGGGCTTCTCTCCAGTATAAATTCTCTGGTGATGAACAAGGCCTGATTTTTTATATGATTTCTGGTGTTCACTCTCAGTTGTAGTTTTCCATATTTTCTTTTGTGGTAAATAGTCAAGATCACAACTTCCATATTTTGCACTTATCACTTCATGTAATATATGTTTTAGGCCCTTTTCTGGTGAATATTCTTGGATATGATTAGGAGTCATGGCCAGGAAGGCCAAGTTTCTATAGTTCTCTAGCATCACATCCCTATATAAATTTTTCTGAGCAGGCTGAAGACATTCCCACTCCTCTTCACTAAAATCAATGGCTATATCCATAAATGTTAACAGTTCCATTTCCTGGCTCTCAGGGTTCTCAGCGTTCTCCCTGTGGTTTGTTTTCAGATTCTGCATAGCACAGACACCTGGGCTCCAGATCAGGACAGAAGCCTACAAAAAGATTTTAAAAAATGCCATTTTATTTTGAGACAGGGTCTCACTAAGTTGCTAAGGCTGGCCTTGAACTTGTGATCCTCCTGTTTCAGCCTCCTGAGTTGTTGGTATTATAGCTGTGGGCCACTCTGCCTGACAACTTCAATCATTTCATTAAGGTAGTATCTACTATGCCTCTTTACTGTAAAATCATTATTTTTTCTTCTGTAATTAATAATAATTTTGGGGGAGGCACTTTATGACTACACAATATCTAATTCCTCATTAAATTGTTACAGGAATTTGTGGATTTTTATCTTAATGGATTATCATCCATTATTATTTATTTAATCATTTTTGTTCACTATTATTTTGACATTCAAATTATGTCCAATTTGACTAGAGGGAGCTCCTACAAGCTGGCATCTATGTCCTACTTATACAGTCCCATCATTCTTTGAAAAATTTCCTCTTTCTGGCAATATATGTTATAGGCTCATCCTGTATTTCCCTGCCCCAGTTCTGAAACTGTCCATTTCTTCAAGGCTCCCTGATTTCTTTTGGTAAACAATGGTGTTTAGAAAACAAAAAATAGGTTGGGTATAGTGGCACACACCTGTAACCCCAGAGACTCAGGAGGCTGAGGCAGAAGGATCACAAGTTTTAGGCCTGCCAAGGCAACTCAGCAAGGCCTTCAGCAACAGAGTGGGACTCTGTCTCAAAATAAAAACCAAAAACAGATGAGGATGTGGCTCAGTGGTAAAATGCCTTGGGGTTCAATCCCTGGTACCAAAAAGCAAAATAAGAAATAGGCAGTAGGGTACATTCATTGTTACCAGTGTGATGGTGTTCCCAAGATCTCTGAGTGGCCAAAGCTCAGGAATATATGCACATAAAATTTACTTATTCTTACATACATACTCTATTTCTTCCTCTTTCTCTCTCTCCCCCTCCATATACACACATATATATTTATATCTATACCCAAACCAGGGGTTCACACTCATATTTCCAACTCTAATCTAATACCACAAGGTTCATCCTAGTTTTCTCCCCTTCCCATATTTATAAGTTCCTTTTCCAACAGTGAGAAAGCTGGCTCTCATACCTCCAATATATTTACTTACTGATCAAATCCCTACATAATAACCACTTGCCATCACTGCCCCATTTCACCCTCAGATTTCCTCTGATTTGGGCTACAGCTCTCCACCACTCACTCTGATATGGAAACCCACCTTGATCAATCCTATCTAACTGCTTCTGGACTAAACTGTTCTATAAGGAAAGAGAAAAATTAAGAAGAAAAAGAGTACACTTTTAAAAAATATTTATTTATTTTTTAGTTGTAGTTGCCCACAATACCTTTACTTATATGTGGTGCTGAGGATAGAACCCAGGACCTCGCCTATGCTAGGTGAGCACTTTACCACTGACCACGACCCCAGCCAAGAGTACAGATTTTTAATGCTTTAAATTTTCACATCTAGTTCATAATAATAATTATGTACAAAGGAAATTATGTTCTTTCTAAGTTGACTATTGGAGTACCAGAAATTAGCTGACAAACTGGCAGTAACGAAAACTTAAATTTAAGAAAGAATAAGCTACTAGAGATATTGTTAAAACCAAAGCTGTAAATCTCTAAAAAAAATTGAACAGTATCTATCCTTTCCTACTGTCTCCTCTCAGTACTTACAAATAAGGTACCTAAAATGTAGAATAAAGCTTTCTGAACCAATAATGAATGGAAGTTACTAAAATAGTGAGTGAATTAATAACTTGTTAAATAAGGTAGATGTCAAAAACATCTGCTTACCTGTTTGATTGCAAGTCAAAAACATAGATATTTCCTTGATGGTCCCCAGCAATTAAGCAATCGCCTGAGCCATCAAAAGCCACATTCAGAAATCTTAAAGTTTTTGAATGATAATCAGAAGTGTTATGAATGATGTTCACTATAATTCTGTCAAAACAAAACAAAAAAAACAATATTAAATTCTACACCAAGTATTATCTGACATATGAAAAAGATTTATAGTATATATTATATCATATATAAAATGTAATATATATATGTACAAACTTTGAAGGTTTTTTGCCTACCTACTCTTCTCCTGTTGCAATTCCTTCTCTCCCCTAGAACCAATCTTACAATTTTTTTTTCTTTTTTTGGTACCAGTGACTGACCCCAGAGGTGCTTAACTGCTAAGCCACATCCCAGCCCTTTTTATTTTTTGAGACAGGGTCTCACTGAGCTGCTTAGGGCCTTGCTAAGATGCTAAGGCTGACTTTGAACTTGCTAAGATGCCTCAGCCTCCCAGCTGCCAGGATTACAGGTGTGTGCCACTTGGCTACTTAAAAGTGATTTCTGAAAAAAATTCAGAAAATTATTCAATATCAAAGTAGTTACTATGCATTTATTCATCAAACACTTGAAAATTTACTTTATGACAGACACTGAATAAGCCAGGAATTAAGAATATCTGATAGACATGACTCCTGTTATCATGGAACTGAATTTAGTAGTAAAAACAGGCATTTAAAAAATACATATAAACAATATTTATAAGTTATGATAATATGACAGACAATAGGATATATTTTTTGTTGTTTTTGTAACAGAAAATGGTCCAAAGTGAATTAAATGTACATGAGTTCTATTTTCACTTCTAACAGATCTACCAAAATACCTAAGCAGGTGTGTTCCAAAAGGATATGGATCACTGCTGCTTCATTACTATATCCCAGCACCTGGCGCTGAATACCTGGCCCACAATACACAACAAGCACCCAATATATGCCTGCTGA